TATAAGGCATATTATCATTATTGATGTCAGGAGACTTGTCACACAGGAAAGAGAGCTTAAAGGAAGAGATAATGTATCGTACAGATTAGCCAACATCTTAATGGAGTCAAGTCCAGGAATTTTAATGGTGTCAAACTCTTACATTTGCTTCTTTGGTTAGGGATTTTCTATTTAATATGCCTTCTGTTTATTCACTCGTTGGTAAAACTGCATTTAATCCAATTTTAAAAATCCTGTTAGAAGGATAGTTCTCTGTAGACTCTAAAGTCTGGCTGACAGTATCTGGGCTGATACTTCAGAGAAGGGGAACCTCCAGGCTTACGAATATTTTTGCTCATTGTGCAGTGATACAAGAAAAGGAGGTAGTTCATTCTTGCCCTCTGCTAACAGTTAACTGGCGGAAGCAGATACAAGATTTTCTTCTCCATTTTTCTCCTCCAATTTTCTGTATTTGGCATGGAGTGCAAAGAGCCCCTGGTAGCCTATACTTCATCAATATTGCTTTGCTATCAGCATTATTGTTGGGAAATGCAAGCTAAATTAAGCAACAGTAAGACTCTTTACTCCCATTGAATTTTCCTCATGCCAAATTACATAGCTGATGTAAATCAGCACATTTCTATTGGCTTCAGTTGTGCTCATTTATGCCAACTAAAGAGCTATGTGACAAGTAGTTCTTTGTAGCAACTGTCTTCTCACGTGCCCAGCTCAGATTTACTCCTCTCTTAGAGCAATCTCTAGGGTAGTATGAGCCAAATTGCAACTGAGTAAAAAGATTTGCATCTACAGAATAAATTCAGGAGTTGCTCTAGAGGTTATGCTTCACTGTGCTCAGAATTTATTTTACATCAGGGTGATTTAAGCCATTAGGAATAGCTGTGTGAGCATGTTCTGGTGATGTTCTGGGCACCTCACTGTGCTGCTGTGTGCCCTGTTGTGGTTGCCTGTGACCTGTTTGCCCATCAGTCCTGCTCTTGGATCATGTGCACCAGATGTAACCATTCAAGCACTGAAGAACTGCTTGGTTCTGCCTCTTGTATCTGCAAACACTCGGAGTTAATAAGCCTGGCAAGTATATGGGGAATCATTTTCCAGCAAGCCTTGTACTATATCAAGCCATTATATTTACAGATGACCCTATACTAAGCTCTTAAATTTTCTTGTCCTCTGTGCAAAGGCAAAGATGAATTCCTGGTACCCAGAATACACATACCCAGCACCATCCTGTTCACATAACCACCATGGCATTAATCAAAGTTTATCGTCAACAAAACAAGGGATTAAGGAGGGAAAACCCATGCCTCCTAGTAGGGGTCAGCCTTGGCAGCCAGGTGTGACTTGCCTCTAAAATACTATTAGACAAAGGGGCTGCAAGAGCCTGACTGTCACCCCCACAACTAGTTGGCCACTGCCCTGAGAGCCCTCTGGGTATGGCCACGCTGTAGAGCAGGGAAAGCATCACTGTGGACTTTTCGTTCAAGTGTTTTGTATTGCGTGGGGAGATGTACAGCCACTTTTTTCTTTTATTGCTCCTGCCACATGGAGCAGACACTTCTATAGCAACTGATGGTTGTCCCTCCTGCCTCCAAACTCCTATTTGTGCACCATGACATGCCCAACACAGCCCAAAATGAATTAAAAAACTAAACTAAACTAAACTAACCATCTCACAATGTCCTTATGAAGAGCTGCACAGCTCTTGTTGTACTGTTCTAGCACAAGGCGTGTGGTACGTTTTGAGTGTGCAGGGAATTAATTCAGAAAATTGTTTTGCTGTCAAGTTTATCTTTGTAAATGTGAGCAAACTGGTTTATTTTTCACTGACAGTCTCATTTGGATATTATACTTACAGAAGTGTAAACCAGGCAATACATTGCAAAGCACAAATTACAAAAAAAACCCTTTCTGATCCCCTGGAATGCCTGAAGCTCATTGCAAAACTGCATGAATGGTGCAGTGAGGGTCAAGCATGTTCACACAAGAGATCTTATATACAGAAAATGCTGTTGAAGGTTGTTGCTCTTTAAGGCCTGTCTTGCCTGCTGCTTGGACACCTGTGCTCATACAACTCCATGAAACAGCCAGAGTAACCAACAAACAGCAGCACTGCACATCCCAGTCGATTCTGTTTTTACAAGCAGATCTGTTCTTTGCTGTTGCACCAGGCTCCTTCCTCACCTCCAATTTCTCCTGTTTATTCTGATGGTGCTGCTAATGAGACACTTATCTCCTAACCTCTGGCCTCTTGACAGTCTCATGCAGCCCCTGTGATGTTAAATGAAGTTAGGCACAGCAGCAACCCTGCAATCAAACCGCTGACATGAACCTCTGCAAGCTAGGTGGGCTTCATCAATACTTCTTTATTCAGGGCAGCACAGGAGGGAAGGTAGAGGAGAGGAGGCATCACACCTGGGTGTTTACCAAGATCAGAGTGGTGCACTGGGGACGGTGTACTGAAATCTGGTGTGAAAAAAATACTGTTTTGTTGGAGCCATGGTAACAAAGCAATAGCTGCTTACATTTTTTGATTTACAGGATCTGTAACTAGTATCAAGATTTTCAAAGATAGTAACACTAGCAGCTGTTCAACATCTGGCAAACCTAGAAGTCAAGAGGCAAGAATAAAAGGACTAAAGTGATGCTGTTCTGAGGAGCTGGTGGAGGTGTTTGTAAAGCCCAAATATAGTTTGGGGGCAGAAGCCACTGTAGCAACAAGAGAAATTAAAAGAGTAAGAGATTCAGAGAGGAGAGAATTGTGAGAGGATGGAAGGGAAGGGCTGCAGAAGGGGCTGGGTTTATCTGAGGTGCTCAGCAGGGAGGGACTCACAATGAGGGAGCAAGAGGAGGCTCAGTCTGAAAGGATGGTGGAAATAGGGGTGTAACAGCAGCTCATGGAGATGAAAGCAGACACTGGTACTGGAGGCCAGGAGCCTCCACAGCTTCTATTTGTTACCTTCCTTATCTTCCAGCAATGTTTCAGTGCTTGCGCTGTAAGGACTAGTCATGATTTTGTTCCACTAAAACGGTACCTTATCTTTTCCTACTCCGTAAGTCTTGCTATAAAAATTCTTGGGTTTGTAAGGGTTCAGAAGCAGTCAACAACCCATGAATGCAGAAATCTTCAGCTCTCCAGACTGAAGCTATCAAAAGTGTCATAGCTTTTTATGCCATGTAAGTGCATCCCTCAAAAATGGTGGCCATTATTTAGGCAGGAGCATTCTGCAGCCTAAAAAGCATGGATAATGGGGTCTATAAAATCCCATTTGACTCTTATGGAGAATACAGGGTTTTGTGGCTGGCTGTCACTATGGGCCCTACCAGACATCATGGAGAAGAATCCCATGGTTTGTAAGTCCCTGAATAGCAAAGGAGTAGAGGGTGTGTGTAATGAATGCTAAGGGTATAATTGGAAGAAACTTCTGTCCTCTGTGTGGAAGCAATGACACAGTGAAGTGAAAGTTTTGTTTAAATTAATCTGCTTCATGGCAAGTGCCCCAGTAAACACATGGAAGACTTGGTCCTTTTTGCAAATCACCTATGTAGATAGATAAAACTTCTGCCTTTTGTTAGAAAAGCTCCAGTGTGAACTGTTCTTGATGGAACTGTTAGTGGAGTCCTTCAATCCCTATTTTCCTGGAAAGGGGAGGACCTTTTTGGGAGCATTCTCTTCAGACAAGTTTCTCCTTTTGCTTGTTGTGTGGTTTGTTTCTATAGACACAGCCGCACACCGGATGGCTGGAGTCCATCCGTAACAACCCTCCGATGCATCTTCTTGAAAAGCATCATGGTGCAGTGGATTCATAACATTGTATAACTCAATTCCTACAGGCACACAAGGTGGGGCTAAGAATGGCAAATTTTTCTCATAAAAACCACAAAATTAAGTAGTTTTAGTTGCCTCTTGGTGATGTCTCCAGTTAGCAACAGCTACTGTATCTTAAAGATGGTAATAGCAAGCACTTGAATAGCATGCTCTCTCTTCTAAGTACTTTGCAGACATTCTTTTCTTCTGAATTAAGGATAAATTCCTGTCCTTTTCAACACTTCTCCAGTGAGATAAATGTTCAATCTGCCATGGGAAAGAGAAAAGCTAGTGATTCCACATTCTCCACTGAAATAGGTGTATTCACCCTTTCAGCTGGTAGAGACTGGGGCCCCCAAGTAGGGAACATTTCTGAATGACAATGTCTGGTGGAAGAGGAGGCTCTGTCCTGTCATTGGCATCATTGACAAAACTCCTATTGACTCAGAGGAGAGTATGAGGAGGCCAAACAGTGCTGACTTCTGATGTCATCTCCTTGGTTTACTTTGTTTTCCAAAGACCCCTTTGTGCTTCTCTCCCTTGCTTTGTATTCTGAATATTCAGATCATTTTTATGCTTGGGGTCCCCACTTTTAATGAGATTGTGGGTTTTGTGACCCTATTACATACAGGTTGACTGGAAGCCACACTGATCCTTCAATATAAGATTTAGTAAAAGCCACAAGAGGAGGAGAGCAGTGAGGGTGTGGAGGAGGAGGAGGGCAGCTGCTATTGTTCTATCATCAGTGCTGCCAAACCATCCCTTGTTTTTTCTGTGGCCTGTGTGTCCAAATGCTGTTTGAACAAATAGGGCATAGTCAGGAGGCTGGCAAGGGGGCAGCGAGAGGGTTAGCACAGTCTTAGCTAGAAATACTTGCACGAGTCAGGAAGTAAGCATGGGAGGAAGGAACTTAAGTGGAGACATCTGTTTAGCTTAGCTTTCAGCAGCTCTGCCTGGGGTAGGGGTGGGAGAGTCATGCCTAAGATGACATAACGTATTTTGTCTTTCGTGAGTTGAAAACAGAGGAAACTGCGAAAGCGAAGCATGGTCTGTGTCACGCATGGTCCAGGCATACCAAGTACATAATGGAGCAGTGTCAGTGCTTTTTGCTCTGCCTCTCACACCCCAAAATAACTTTTCAAGACAACTGAGGAGAATGTGATATGGTCCAAAAACTGATCTTGGACTTTTTTCGCAGACGACTGAGCCAGAGGCCAACTGCTGAAGAATTGGAGCAGAGGAACATACTGAAACGTAAGTCCTGATACCTCTGACATTTAACCTGAAGCTAGTTTGGGTTAGTTTAGATGTATGTTGGGTGTTTTTTATAGAACATCAACTATTCTGTACATGAATCATTAATAACAAAGAAGTGCATCATAAATGCAAATAAGTGTACAAGTCTGTAGCAACATCCAGAGCTGAAATTCTTTAAAATCAGAGTCAGTAAATTCACAAGAATGAACTACCTATGGGGAAAAAAAAAACAGACTTTAAATCTCTTTTGCAAGTCCTATTCCAAGCAGAGAGTTGGTGATTCTGAAAAGCTTTTATGCAGCTCTTACACAGATGAGCATCCTGTTACAATTTAGTAAAGATATTAGGGCATGGCTTGATTAGTTTTCCTAAAAATCTTTACAGCATCTAGACTAGGTGGAGCCTTTATTCAATTGAAGAAAGAAACCAATGGGACTTGGAATTATTTCCCTGAAATGTTCCGCTGAAACTCTTCCTTTAAATCAGCCAAAAATTTGTAGATCCTCAACATATGATACTTTAAAGGGGCAATATACCATTTAGAGACCCTGACCTGGGTTAAGTTACTGGACGCATTGCCACCAACTTCAAGGGAAGCAGAACTGAGTCCAGCACAAATCTTGTAATCTTATGAAAGAACAGGAAAAAAATTGTAGTTTCTGTACTCACATTGAAGTGGTTTGAGTATTAAAGGAAAGCTGTTTATCTCACTGTTGTTACTTACAGAAAACAAGATAAACAAGTTCTTCCCTTCTTTAGTTAGTAAATGCATCATTCCGGAGAAATTTTTAAAAATTACTACATGAAAAAGTACTTCTAACTGGTATCTTATACATAATGTCTCCTTAGGTAGGAGAATTTAGCTTCTCCTGTTGTTCAAATAACTGCATTGTACAGAATCATAAAAATGTGGTAATTTGCTGAAAATTGGCAGAACTGATTGATTAAATACTTCAAAATCAGATTCCTAGCAAGTAAATGATCGTGTTAATGGTCAGTGGGGTCTTTTCATCTGCTCATGTTATTATACGTCAGAAAAACAGAAAGAAAGAGACACCATTGTCAGTGCAAAGAGGAGAAAAGACTGGATTGCAGAGCAGTGTGGGCAAGCCTGAGGCTTCCAGAAAAGCCATTTGTTTGGGGCCAGCCCCATTTTGGTAGCGGTGCTCATACTGCCTACTCCTAACTCCCATGACTGGCTGCTGGAGGGAGTCGGGGCAGAACCTGGGGATATAGGTGGCACATCCAGATGTGATTGCCTCACAGGGGGGTAGCAGAACAGCTGGAGGAAGAAAAACCTGCAACGTGACTGGTGCCAGGCTCAGACAAGGAGGGACAGAGGCCAATTCTCTGGGCAGCTCATGTGGTCATCCCAGGACTTAGGAACAAACATGTGTCATGCACCACCTGGCACTGGTGCGTGACCAGTAAACACCACCCTGGCACTGGTGAGGCTGGCTGGAGGGAACTGGAGATCTTGGGCAGCTGCTTTGGCAGCAGGGTTTGAACCAACATCATCAGAGAGGCAGCATCTCCAGTGCTGGGTTCCTTGCAGTAATTCCTAAAGGTCACTTTGCTGATCACAGCAGTCACATAGCAATCTGAAGATCTCTTACATTTCAGGCGAATTATCCCCTGAGTCACATTAGTTTCCTTTTGAATTGGATAAGGGCTCTTAAATGACATGGATGTGTTTGAAAATTTTACCCTGAATCCAGAACAATATTGTGTTTTCTAAATGGAATTTTTATAGCTTGGTTCCTAAGAACAGATCTGCCCCAAAACATGTGTGTCTTGGTAGACAAACAGCTTCATAATTACAGGAAAAAGTGATGTGGGATTTCCAAGGCATCCCAGCTTTGGTGAAACACAGCAGGAAAGGAATAAAAAACTAGAATAGTTACATAATTTAAAAAATAAGAAAGCATAAAAATGCTCCACCCTTAAGTAAATATAAATAGTGTCTGGTTTGTACATCACTTTGCGTCATTTCCCTAGTCTTCTGAGAAGGAGAATTATAATAAATACAATGGAGCCTAGAGAAAGAGACACAGGCAGTTATAACGAGTGTAAATTCTCTGCATAAGCAGGTCAAGCAATTTGACAGAAGCCCAGTTCAGAGAAGACAAACACAGAGGCGCAAAAGAAAGCCCAGCAAGTTCCCAAGTAGACTACATAGGATTTCCTCTGCAGTTAAAGCTGAAATCTCCTTGATGTAAACGTCATGTCTGGTACCATGTGTAACTGCATTACTGCTCATTCTGCTGGGAAGAAATAGACAAAATGTGGTGGGACAGCCAATTTTTATACATGAAGTGATTGCTTCCTATCTCCGTGCTGCTGCAACGATTATGAGATTGTCATCTTTATTGAATTACAAGAGCAAAGCATCCATTGTACAAGTTCCACTACTTGCTGGTAGCAACAGTAAGATTACAGTAGGCACAGCAAAGAAATAGAGAGCAGGGTCCTTCACTGAAGTATGACCAATTCACTGGCTCTTATTTAAGTCAAAGAAATGTAGTGAGTGGAGTCCAGACCTGCAGAGTTAGTGTGAAGACTGAAGAACACTTTTTGAAGTTAATACGTGCTGGCCAAGTTTATGAGGAAGGATTTCTCAGTCCCTCTCATGCCCCATCCACCACGGCACTTCTCTGATGGATACAAGTAGTTCAGTTGTCAGCTTGGCACATCCATTGCATCAATTACTCACAAAAAAATGATGGTTAGGTAGGCTCTGAGGGTCTCAGGTTGCACTAGGGGACATTTCACACCAGCACAGAAATGAGGCCTGAAAATCACAGTTACCCACAGCATCTCCTGAACACATAAAATAAAGCAACAGTAGCTTCAGAAGATGGACGTGACTTAATTAACTTTTAAAAAAAACAGCTAAAACAAAGTCACTTTCTGGTTTTGGAGGATAATGTGTTCCTAATTCCCAGCTTTTACATGACTGAGGCCTTCAGCCTGCCTGGCTTCTCTGAAGGTGGGTTGCTGGGCTGAGAGGTGAGGAGGAGAAAAGAAAGACATCTTATACCAAGTACAAAAGTGAATGGCCATAAGTAAGTATTATATATAACTCCTTGGCTGCTTGCAGTTCTACCCTGACTCTGTGTGGGCTCTGCTTAGCACTGTGTCCCTCTGGCTTAATCTTCAAGGATTTATTAGTGCCTCTATTTCTGAAAATAGGCATTTGCAGGACAAGCTCCTCCAAATTTGAAATACAAAGGGAAGAACAAAATTGCCAGAGGAGCAATTGCTAGAAAAGGATCCAGCCCAGTAGGGACAGGAACTTTTGAAAGAGGAAAAATATATTTATCAGTGAGTGTATTCCAGTTACCATTTTAAAAGCCATTTGTGACTCCCTGCTGTGTTCTGTTCTTTTTACTCCAGGATCAGTTTCCTTCCTCCTGAAAATGGAAGCGGTATTTTTGTTAAAGTGGCATTTAAAGATCAGCAGCATATTGTAAAATATCATAACATTGACTGGCTGTTTGTCCTCTTTGGTGGCGATTTCCCAGCCCTGTGAAGTCAGAGAGCAGTTGTGATAGATCTCTCAGCTCTCCTGCCCTGAGCAGCAGAAACCTGGCTTCCAGCCTAGCCCTGCTCCCCTGCTCAGAGCCTTTTGTGGTCTCTGAACATCAGGTCTTGTTTCCATTTAGGGAAAGCCCCAGTTTTGAAAAATTGCGTCTCCTCCACTGTGTGCAGACTGGGTTAGGGCTTCCTTATGTTATTTTTGGCTGGTCCCAGGTAGTTAGTGGGAGACCTGTGCTCTCATGGCTGAAGAATTTAAGGCTGGTGGTTTGTTACTGCCACGGTGCCAGAGGTGCCTACTTCTCCTGCAGGATCAGTAGACAGGAACATGTCTTGGGTTTAATTCAGTCCAAAGTTGGACAATTTAAATCAAGCCACCTATTCTAAACTGGCCTTTGAAGTCCTTAATGTCCCCAGCAGAGAGTTATTCCTGTCTGAGCTAATCCTGAGTGAAAAACGGATCACACCAGGGTAAGGGTACTTGTTGGAAAAGCTGATGAGTTGTGTTCACTCTCCTTTGTTACACACAGGCATGACTGGAGTAAGGAGCAGTTCAGCTGTAAACAAAGCAGTGGAAACAGATCCTGGTTGAGGAGATGAGTATCTAAAACCCTGGGCTCTTAGAGAGTTTCAGTGAAGTTCAATGTAAAGACATGCATGACAGCCTGCTCCTAAGTTGAAGAAGAGTTAGTATACTCAAATGTTATTGTCTTCTTGAGGGATAATGTTTGAGACTTGCCCTGGTGTGAACTTGTAACATGATCTTTTGGCTTTGTGTTGAAAGTGAATTGCCCGAGGATGTGCTTTTACACTCCAGTGTGTTGTGAAGGCTCATGAAGGACACTCTCTCCCTGCACTGCTCAGGTCATGGAAAGTTGCAGATTTTGCCTGGCACCCCTATTCTGATTTTTTTCCATTCTCTCCAAAGAGGAGCTGCAAGAAATTATTCTGTAAATGGGAAAAATGTACGTTTCTCTTCCAACCATTGACCTTGCATCCTCACAGAATCCAACCGTATCGTAGCTGAACCCTGAGGCCACTGGGCCTGTGGGCTGCGAGACAGTTTCTGAAGAGCTGGCTTGCTGCCTGGCTCTTCTAGAGAGTGACACACATGAAGAGGTGCCAACACAGGGAAAGGAAGGAGGCTGTAGATGTTTGATGAAGTGTGTGAAGAAGCGTGGTAGCTAAGGATTGAGGAAGTACACCAGCCCCAGAGGGACCCACTGTGCATCAGATCGGTCCTAAAACATTAATATACTGATGGAGAGGCTTATTTTGTTGCATACTGTGCATGCCTGATGAGTCCACAGCCTGAGATCCTTGTAAATCTTTTACAGCCCGGAATGAGCAAGAGGAGCAGGAGGAAAAACGAGAGATAAAGCGAAGGTTAACACGTAAGGTGAGAAACAACTTTGATCCTATTATGACACTACTGTAACTTTCTCCCTGCAACTGCAGTTGTTTGCCTTTTTCCTTTTCCTCAGCACCATTTTCAAAAGTACAGTGTGAAACAAGTCTTTAAAGCAGTCTTTAAAAGAAATCACCAGTGTTACAATGTGTAAGTCCACAGAGTGAAGTGAGTCACTTTGCAAGCTATTGCTGGTAACATCTTGAGACAAGACAAAAGTCATAACTGAAGGAGCTTTGAACAGCAAAGGATAGAGAGCCTAGCACTGGTCCAACCCTGCTTCCTGTAAATGTAATGGCTTCTGCAGCCATTATGAAGAGAGCAAAGTTAAAACAATGCTGATTGCATTCAAGAATTCCATCTAAAAAAAGGCATAAAACTGGGAAATAAACCTTTTCTGAAAAGGGAGATTGTCACTTGAGGCATTTAAACTAAATAGAGAAAAGCACTCACAAATGGTGTATAGTGCAGAAAGCAATCTTGTATTGGCAGGGAAAGACGAACAAAAAAGCATAGTTTGGTTTTGAGTTTCCTCCCATTTGAAAGTCATTTACTCTTAAAACTGAAGAACAGTCATTTCAGATATGCATATTCAGTTTCCCAGCTAGTGTAAATGTCTGCAGATGCCCCAACATATATAGCCAATAATGCATCCTTTTACTGCGGATAAACTTTATTTCACCACTGACATATTTCCTTTCTCCAGAGGTGGAGAAAGCCCCCTTAGGAACTCACATGCTTGTGAAGCAGTGCCAATCCCTTCCTGTACGTTTTTTAGGTGACTTAGTCTTTCTGGACTATGTGGTCACAGATTTTCACAGTATAAATAATGACAAGGAAAGGCCTCGAAATATACATGGAAAGGTTGCATTCAGAGAGCTGAATTGCTTTTTTTCATGGTTGAAAATCTCATGCCTTATTCTCAGCTCACATAAATCAGCAAAGTTCTTGCACATCAATGGGAGAATACTGCTGTTGTCTGCAGGAGCTAAGAATGCAACCCAGAGAGCTATAATATTATTTTTATAACACTTAAATTCCTGGCAACAATGGCAGTGATGGTCTCACATTGTCTCATATTACTGTCTGAAAGAACCTGCACTGCAAATGTTTCATGGGACTCAGGCTCTGCGCAAAGCCTAGAAATACCATCTTACCAGGCTTTCAGTTTCCCTATACATTGACAGGTGGACACATACAGGAATCCAGTCCAAAGCTTGATTCCATTTGCTGAACATCTGTAACAGATAAAAAGCAAAGCTACCCATACCCAATCTGCTGCCTAAAAAGTGAGGGCTTGCTAACTCCACCAGCATTATTGACATTCAGTTCCCATCCTCTGCTATTTTATAGGAAAGGTACGAAGCACATGAATTATCTGTTGCAGGCAGAGGCCACAGCCACATGCTCAATTAACACACCCAGGCTGCTGTAACATCACAACAGTGTCTTCTCCCTGAAACCTCAGCAGTCTTCTGCAAGATTTCTTTGTCTTATTTGCACTTTTAAGTAGGAACAGCAGTGACAGCAGCAGCAGTCTGAGCCCCCGGCAGCTGGCTCTTTAATGTTCATACCCCTGTTCCCAGTAACATTCCTTTTAGCCTTTTTGTGGCTTCTTCCCTAGTAAAGATTTTTCTCCCTCATGTTTGTGAGGTTGGTAGCAGCATGACTTGGCATTGTTTGATTTTGATAATCTTTTTAAACTGTTGTAAATTGACCTAGTGACACATGTAATTTTCATTAAAAAGAACCACAGGCCTGGTCTAACAACAGATTTTGTTCTCACCTACCAAACATACTGCCATAAAGGCTCAGAAATCACTAGAGGAAAGGAGTGAATAAAGTGTGTAAGTGGATAGATAACAACTAGAAATGCCAACCACCTACTGAATCCTGCAAAAATAGTTGTTATTCCCCAGCTCTGCCTTTCATGAGCATGTCCCAGATGTGTCATTGTGTCTGCAGCAGAGTGGCAGACTCTTTCTGTTGATTTGTACTGAAGTCTTATTACCAAAGGATTTTAAACCTCAGATTGAGCAGAAGTTTAATTGAGCACAGCAAGTGGTTTTGCCCAGCAGCCCTTTCTGTTTGCACTGAGTTTTAATGCAGACACATGCCCCCGGGTTAAATTCAACATAAGGAAAATACGCCACATTGCTTCCTTGCAACCATGTGTAGTTGGTAATAAGAAAGGAAGGGGGTTCTGCAGAAGCTGGTGACGAGACTTTTGACCTTGCACTAGAATAGCTGCTACTGTCCCTGTTTTTTTCAGTGGCGTCATTCCAACTCCAAGGGAACAACCCACTTCATCCATTAAAAAGCTGTTCTTAAAATTCCTTTAGCGCTGACATTCTGTTACAGTATTATGATGATAAGTTGTAACATGACATGCTGTAATAAGTAAGATTACCTTGCTAGGTCTAGACACCTTATAAAGTCAGCAATAAATATCCAGTTGAATCCATCATCTGGACAGGCAATTTCTAAAAGAAAATTTAGATCAGGTGACCTATAGCAAGCTGCCCCTTTAAGCACTTTTCATCCTCTCAGACTCATCTAACTCCAAATTAACTGGGCATAGGGATTAGCTGCCATTCAAAGAACAAAATGGAGGCGAATGCTATTCAGTGCAGTTTCTCCATAGCTCATGTCCCTCCTGTCCAAGGAAAGGTGAAGGGTACTTGCCTGTCACCTGAGATGCCCATGGATAGGTTCTGTACATCCAGCTACTGCTGTACTCCTTCTCCCTGCCCCTTGGGGCGCGCTGAGCAACTTTAGGCACATTGGATTTGCATCATTTTAGTGGAGGGACATGTGGACATTTTTTCTCTGAGCACTGCTCTTGGCCCACAAGCCTATTCTGGGAGCGTTAATGTGCAAAAGCCCTCTGGGAGTAGTGTTGCAGGTGGGTTCCTTCCATGAGGAGATCTGGACACGCAGAAATTACTACTAAGAATGTATCCACTCTGAAACGCAGTTGATTTCTCCAAGCACTGTGGCAATTAACACAAGCCTGAACTCAGTTTCTGAGGACTTCCATTAGAGAGAGAGTTGTAGCCTGTTACAAATCACATGCAAAGAGGAATAAAACTCTTCCTACTTTCTTTTCTGTCAGGTAGCATCATGCTCCCCATTCCCCAGAGCTGTTTATAGCCTCTTATCCCCCGCTGTCAATAGCTATTATTTCCCAGACGTCTAGCTCCAAAGCTAAAAATCTTGTAACAGCTGTCAAATCAACAACCAAAATGATGAGGTGTGGCTGCTTCTTAAAATCCATACAATAATCTGAAATCTTTATTCCCATTGAATTCCTGCCCTGGTACAGCTGAAACATTCTGTTCACTGGTGCCTCACTGGGAAATGTCTTGCAGTTCAATCTTTTCTTTAACTGACCTCTGCTGGCTTGCATCAGCACGGGCTGTTCAAAATAATGAACTCTTGAGAGAGGTGGGATTCATCAGAGGGAAGCAGGGAAGGGGGAAAAGTCAGAGAAGAAAAGAAGTTGGGGGTTAATTTGGATAAACTGCAATTATAGTCAGAGGGAAAGTTCTTTGAGGCATTTTCATCATTTCCTGCTCCTGCATCTTACCACAAAAGGTGAGGAACAAAGAAGAGAAGTTGTGTGCACTGCTAGTTAGCTTCTGTAGTTTTTCACCTTGGTTTCTTCCTTAAATAACATCCATAACATTTTAGCAAGGTAACAAAATAGGCAATAATGAAGTGACAAGACAAGTGGAGCAAACTCTGCATTTCGCATTTGACTAAATCCCAAAACCAGACTGGCAAGAGTACATCCCCTTCCACTTTACCTGGTGGCAGTGCTTGGGTTTGCTTCATTTCCCATGCCAAGAACAAAGGGGTTTGTGTTAAACCTTTCCTTGCAAATTGGCTTGGTATTAAAGCCTGAAATGTGCCTGTTTCTATCTCCAGTGATCCAGAATATACGGAGGAAAACTTGACCTCCAATGACAAGATATGGGAGGTCCTGTCCTCATTCATTTTACACTGTGTTTGCATTAATACAATTCCATTTAATTCAAAAGGTATTTTTGCCCTGGTTCACACTCAAATAATGAGGTCACTCACCACACAGTGCAATGAGACCCTTCCCTCCACTTGGAGCACCACTGCCTGTTGAAGGCAGTTGCATTGTGTCCTTGACCATGTCCTTTTACTGTAAGTTACAAATGTGCCCAGTTCCTTCTGCCTGTTAGAAGAAGCAGTGCTCATTGTCAGGTGTTGAGCAAGAAGGAGTGTGTAGCATTAAGCAATTTTGACCTAAGAGACTGCAGCTCACGTCATAAAAATGAACTCCAAGGTGAGATCTCAGCTGAGATGTGCCTTCAACATCAACAGACACTGAACTGACACCTACAGTGGAGCCAGTTTGAGTCTGTTCTGCAGGTCTGTTTCCCCACCTGTTTAAGAATGAAACTCTTGTCGTGGTTTAAACCCAGTCAGGTAACTTGTTCACTCACTCCCCCCCCTTCCCTCCCTCCCCCTACTCCCGGAGGGACGGAGAGGAGGATCAAAAAGAATGCAACTCCCACGGGATGAGATAAGAACAGTTTAGTAACTAAGGTATAACACAAATCACTACTGCTACCACCAATGATAACAATGATAAAGGAAATAACAAGGGAAGAGAATACAACACCTCAGCACCAGCCAACCGATAACTCGCTCCCCCCGCCCAGCCCGACCAAGCACTGACCGATACCTCCTCCAACCCCGCAGTCTCCCAGCCCTTCCGGCTAACTCCCAGTTACATCCTGGACATGACGTGCTGTGGTATGGAATACCTCTTTGGTCAGTTTGGGTCAGGTGTCCTGTCTCTGCTTCCTCCCAGCTTCCCCTCCTCCCTGGCGGAGCATGAGGCTCACAAAGTCCTTGGCCAAACCAAAACATCTCTATCAGTTCTGTTCCCAGGCCGAAAGTCAAAACACAGCACTGCACCAGCTACCAAGGAGGAGAAAAATGACTGCTACTGATGAACCCAGGACACTCTGTGTAGCCCAAACGTACTGAGACACCCTCATGCTTAGCAGCTCACAAGAAACACTTGCAGTGGCATGCGAAAGAGTCAGAGCAGTTTGTTAACTGTTCAATTACTGTAGCTTTAATTAATGGTTTTTAGAAAAACATTTGGTGTGGTTGTCCCTCTCTTTACATTTAGTATGATCAGGTTGGGTTTTTGATGTACTGGATATGTTTTTGTGTGTTTATGTATGTAAATATATGTAAATTTATGGCTACATATGAACTCTGTGGTATTTCAGGACTCTCTCACAGCCAGAGTGCTGGCACAACAGTCTGTGCATCTCTTTTCTGTTCACAGCTCTGCCCCAGGCCTCCTGGGTCACCCTGAGCTGGTTGTTTGGTCTCTGTGTTTCACTTGCTCCAACTGCTCTGTGGCCAGGGGGATGCTGCCCACCACTCTGATGGGGTGTATAAGTATATGAAATTGCACTGACTGCAGGTTTCTGAAGCAAAGGCAGGGCGTCTCAAAACAATGTACAAGAATAGTTGTATAACTTCAGAGGAAAAGAAGCAGCAGCTTTTACTCTGTCTTGCGTTCAGGTATCACCGAAGATTAAAAACTGCGCATTAGCACCAAAGTTTCATAATGTGCTTATGCCCTTGACATTTTTCATGTGCAAATCAGTGCACTGTTCTTCACACCCACCCAAGGGTTTCAGTGATGTGAAATGTGCAGGTGATGCACCTGATTTGACATTTGTGCATTTGCAAACATAAGAATTTACTTATGTGACTCAATATTTACCGTCATTTCTTTGATTTCAACATATACCCAGCGCATCAAGCAAGCCAGATTAGCTGTTTAAGACCCTGTGCAGCATTGAGGTAAATACCAGCACCACCGCTGCTGTGGCATTTGATGCTTTTGCCTTATTGACACTGCCTATAGCCAACAGCCTGGCACTGTATGTTTCAGTGTATCAACAGCCACCCGCCTTCTCCTTTGTACAGACTTGCTAATTGCTTTGATTAGCACAAATGTGAAAGCTGGCTAATGTCAAGAGTTGACAGAAGCTGTGAAACAGAGCTGGTCGTTTTTTAAAGCCCTCTTCCAGCTTGAGAAGCTTGTAGCAGTTCCTGCTTTCCTTGTAGCCATTTAGGAAAACAGAGTTTAATTCACAGCATTTCATATTCTGTTGGTGTCATCAGTGTAGTAAGACATCTTATTTAGGAAAAAAAAAATCCGTTCCAAGATGAAACAACATCTAGGCTATGTCCTGAAATATTAAAAGCTGAGAAATGTGGAGATAAGGTTGGTGATTCATCCTTAATTCATGCTGTTGTGTGAAAAGAAGCAGTAGAGGCAAGTAAAGATGGAGTCTCGCCCTTATCTTTGAAATTTTTGAGTATAGCCATATTATTTCAGCATGAAAATTCTCTGTTTCCATAGTCAGGGGTTACATTTTAAATAATCAAAAGCAAAACTGCTGTGCTCTCCGGATAACAACAGTATCAGTGCTAACAAACCTGCAGCTCCTAGTACTACAGCTACTAGAAAAACCTACCAATTTGGAATCACATTCAAGATGAAGTCAGGACAGAGAAGCCTCACTGATAGTGTAACTGGGATTATACTCCAAGTGTGGTATAGCACTTCAGTTTTCTCGCTTTTGTTAAAAGCCCCTCTGTTGACTGCAGTGTGCGTTTGGCTTGCAGGTGACTTAGGTGTCAGGGCTGCAGGCTGAAGAGACAATTTTGTTCCATTAGAACAAAAAGTAACAGTTTTAAATCTAAACGTGCTTCAGTCTACTTTATTGTGCCCCCTGGCTTTTCTGACAGGATACTCCAGCTCAGAGATACCCTGTTGTCTAAAAACAGCCAAAAAAGTTATGCCTGCTGTGTACACGTTTTGCTTTTTGAAAAGCAAAACTTGGTGTAGTCTGAGTTCAGAAAGGCATGCTTCTTGCTCACCTCATGGGCTGACCTTATTCAGGCTGGCCTGAATGTGGGTATACAAAATGGGGCTTTTCTTGGGAAGCACTGGGAAGAAAGAGGATGAATGTTGTGTGACAACCACACGCAGAGCAGCTCCCTCCAGGAAACTTCATGCCTCCCATAGAAGGTGGCTGTGAGAAAACTGTCTAGTGTTAAGATCTTTGCAATATTCAGAAGTTTTGAAGCTGTTCTTTTTCAAAACAGCAAGGAGCTTTTCCCCTGTTAAATGTCATGATTTACCATAAAATGGCTCTGGAGGTCATACACAAACTGCTGAGCTGTAACTTGACTGATGCCAGCTGTCCTAGGCAAGGGCGTTATGTGATGGAGTGTAGATCTGTGCTCCTGGTTACACTTCCTTTCTGTGGTTTCTCTGCCTTTGGTGTGTACAAAATGGCTGGGCTGCAGCTAGGACAGATAGAACCTCACTTCTGCCCTCCTGAGCATCTTACAGGCAGGGCATTAGTGCCCCTCTGCAGACACTCTGCATGATGTGCTTGCATCCAGTTTGTGAGCTCAGGGTTATCAGTGTAAGGAGGGCAATCCCACGGTCACCTCCCATTGCAACCATCTTTCCTAAAAATAGAAGAAAGAGGCAACCATGAATGCCAAGAACAAGCACACAGGTATTTAAAGCTAGAGGCAGGATCAGGTGGTGCAGCTATCTTGCATCAGCACCCAAATGCTGAAGAATGGTGGTATTTTTCACCCTCCACTTAGCGTCTTGGCTGGTTTGAATCTTTAATTCTCCCTGGAAGATGAAATGCAGGGAACTGAGATACTTAATTTTGGAGGAAGGTGGATTCAAGAGCCTAAATAACTTTACAGAATAGAGTCTCAAGCGTTTTATGAAATATTTAGACCTCCCATTATTAACAAAGGTGAATTATTGTAACACACACCTATTCCTAGTGAGTGGGAATAGTATGATACACTGTATAGCTAAGTGTTAGCAGGATATTATTTTCCCTGATGTCTGATGTTTCATTCCAATAGTGAGACTTTTGCAGCTAATGTACAGCCATGTGCACATGTATGTATAGCACCTTCTCAGAACTAGTTGTGTAATTGCTTTTGACATTAACCAGCATGCTGTGCATCCAAGGAGAATCGATCCCTGAAAGCCAATTCCTGTCCCTAGCCTTGTTAACTGACTGTATAATAGGTGGACTACCAGCACACTACTGTTTCTCATTTGAGAGGAGAGTTGACCGTGGCTGCCTCTTCTGCTGTGGAATTTGACAGAAATGCTTTGGAACAATGAAGATGCTTTCTTTGCATGATCCCATCCACCCTTGCAATTGTGGGGTTTTTTTGGCTTGTAGTATGCAGTGTAAACCGTTAGAAGTCAAATACATTGTGACATAAAATAGAGCTGCAGCATACAGTGACAAGTTCAATAAGCACTACTCATCATCCTGCCTACCTTTTCGGGAGGTAAGGACAAGTCTGGAGAATATCAGAATGGTAAGGAAAGTAGTTTGTCACCTTTTGCACATAATTCAGGGCAGGAGCATCCCGGTGCCTTTGCCTGACCCTTCCCAGGCAGCACAGAAGCACACACAGCAGCTCGAGGCTGGGGAGCGTACAGCCTACGCAGGTAGTTTTAAAGTTGTCTTGTGGTCTTTGTCTCTTCCTGAGACATTGCTGCACTCCAAGACTTTCCTGTGTTACTTCTCATTTCTGGCTATGGGATCAACTTCAACCCGGGATTAGGGTGTCCAGCCATAGCCACTTCCCAAACAGTGAGCTGCTCCAGCAGCAAGGTGGGAGGATGTTCAAGGTGCTACAACAAGAGGTTATCTCCCACGTAGCAATTCTGTGAAAGGTTGACAAAAAGAATGGCTCTGGGAATGTCTGAACCCCCATAGTGATGGCTGTAGTAAAACAAATCCCCAAGCAGCACTCTACAGGGAAAAAGTGACATCCTGATGTCTTTTTCCACTCTTTCCTCAAACCCGCAGCTGAGTCAAAGGCCCACAGTAGAAGAGCTACGTGAGAGGAAGATCCTCATCCGCTTCAGTGACTACGTGGAAGTGGCAGATGCACAGGACTATGACAGGAGGGCGGACAAACCCTGGACACGACTCACAGCCGCCGACAAAGTAAGTGGAGCAACTCTGGGAGAGCCATGATCTGAATGGCTAGGGCATGTCACAGCAAATAGCATCCGGTGGGTCCCACAGGTCTCATAGCCATCAAGGAATAAACCTGCACCTGACATCCCTTCCCCACATACCTGCGGTTTCTTCTCATTCTTAAGGTTTGTTGTTTGAGTCATAAATCTTTGGCAAGAAGGCTTCTTTATGCGTGGGAACTAGGAGCAAGGTTAGCAGCATTACACCTTTTAAACACAGGCAAAAGGATATCAAGGCTTTTGAGGAAGGGTCTTAATGGCAGCCGTATTATTTCTTTGTTGGTTTTGGTCTTGCCAGAATTGCTGTGTCAGGACAGAACAGGCCTGGGTGCAAAAATGCTCCATCCCACTGAAGCCAGGTAACTTCTCTGTAGTGTGTTACAGCAGGGGCCTTTACTCAGGATTTCTAACACAGAATATTTTAAGCACTGAAGTGAAATTGCATGAGCCCTGCAGACAAAGGAAAGACACATGTTTGGTACTGAGAGCATTGTCCTCTGAGCACTAGTGGGACTTTCGCTAAGTGGTGTCTCTGGTGTCAGAGATATTTGTGGCATTGGTGACAGAGGGGTTAAATTGCTGGGAAATTATATCAAGTCACATTTTGAGGGTCTTAGTGTTTCCTCAGGAAGATTTAAATGTTTTATGGCCACTGTAAGAAAAGAGGACTATGAGGCTGATCAGTGATTCCAGAGCTTACAGTCACTCTATGATGCCCATGTAATTTTAAAGACTTTCAGGTGCCTAAATTCAAGCCTTGCCTATTTCTTTGCTGTGGTACTCGTGCAGCAATGGAAACCATGATGTCAAATGTTTAGAGACAGGAGCAGGGTTTCTGGCCATGCCACTCATTTATGGTGCTGTTGGTTTTGTTCACAGAGGAAAAGGCAGCCTGTTACACTTGCATAATTTAACCAAAGGACTTGTATAGTTTCATGAGCACTGGTTTACTCCTTGACAGGACTTTTTTCAGTTTAGTTTTGGATATCAGCATAAACTGATCTGAAAATCAGAAAAATGTCCTCTGGACTGCCCACAGGCCATAACATACTGGGTTGAATTAGCTTTTCCCCTTTTATCTCACCATGTTGGACAAGATCTTATACGACCAACTTAGTTTTATTCTCCCAATTGGTAGATGTGGGAGGGATTCTATCTCCAATTGGTTCTGCAGCCTTTGAGAGATCCCTGTCTGGGATGAAAGGCATGGAGAAACTTCAGCTGGGAAGGGGGAAAATTGGTGTCCAGAGAGGTCCTTCCTCATCCTGCGTCTGTGAAAAGAACAAGTATTAAATACCACTATTAAATATAGCCTGGTAAAGAATTCAGCATTAAGGCAAAGTACTTTGCACTCACTTTTTCATAATGTATGTGGAAAGTCAGTACCCCAACCAAAGGGCCTGAGTTCTCCAAATGAATCTTTTCTCAGCAATGCAGAAGAATTGTTTGTCACTCTAATATTAATGCCCCTCATGGCATAAGGAAGCAGATATTTCTCTTTTGGCTTTGGGTCCTGTGACCAATGTTCTGATTTCTGCCATTCAGATGACCTGCTTTTCCCCACTGCTGTGTCCACTGTTGGAAAAAATAGCCAGATAAATTAGAATCAACTCCACAATGCCTGACAAAGTTGCAACATCCTAATAATCTTTTAAGATTATTTTCTTCCAAAGCTTTGATTCAATAACTGTCTTTATTGGTCAGCACAGGCGAGGTTTATTGAAAAACAGATATTAGTAATGGACTTCTGTGTTTGTCAGTAAATCTTGTTCTGTGTGCTGATGTAAGGAATTGCCTTCAGTCTGACTTCATCTTTGCCAGGTCTGACTGTGATAGGAACAAAAAGGGCACTTTTAAATCTCTCCAACAGACAAGGGATGCAGAGGGGAATAAATGTCAGACCTTGTGCGAGTAAGCAGCCCAAGTGGCTTCACTGAAGTAGCAAATTGGTCTGCCGAAGGTGGGCCCTTGAGTTGCTGCACCACCGTTGCTCTGTCCTCATAGATGGAAGCAGAGCCTGACAGACATTCTTAGGTAAATAAAAAACCAAAGCTGTACAGAAAGAGCACAAGGGGCCTTTTCAGTGGATCACAGTCACGAAACCTATCACTTAGGGCTTGTCAAGGCAAACGTAGTTAGTGGCTGGATCAGTGGCTTTTGCAAAAACCCTGGTTTGGGCTCATGCTGTTTGTGCCAGTTTAGATTTCCTTCATCAAGAAAAACTCCTGACAGAACGGAGGTGCCACTTGCATCCACTGATGCTGATGTTTTCAGTATCACAGGGAAAAGCAGCAGCACACTTGGACCCAGGGGAGCATTAAGCCACAGCAGCCACCTTACACATCCTCTCCAAATGCTCACAGTGAAACTCGCTTGTGGTTTACAAATATCACAGGGTTGCCAGAAGCCTTGACTCTAGGCTTGGGACTTGAGCCAGTTTTGCTGAGCACCATCTCTACCGCAAAGCAGAGTCCTTCCAACTCACCTCCTCTATTTTTTTATTATTCAATACTTCTCTTCCTGCCAGTCAGCCCTGGTGTTCTTTTCCCTCAAGGGTAAGCCACGGAGGCTGTAGGTAACCAGGTCTCCTGCAGATGCTGAATACAACCGCCTGTGGATAGTTTTCTGCTGGATTAGTGTGTGGCATCAGCTCAATAAATGGCACAGCTGGGGCAGAAGGGAGGAGGAGGTCAGAGGGGCACAGTCTGAGGCAGAGTAGAGGGCAGGGAGCCAGGCATCCATTTTTCCCTCCCAAGTAACCTCAGCCACTTCAGGTAACTTCACCCAAGGAAATTCAGGACCGCATAAAGGCAGGAGACATCTCAAACATGAGCCTGGCAGTATCCAGGCCCAGTTTACTCACAGTCCAGCTCCAAAACAGATTGCTGTGTTTGAGAAACTGTGGTGCGCATTTTTTTTTTCCTCATGCTTATGCTGATTTGGGTTTTGTACATGACAGTGTTTACACAATAAGCGGAATTGGATTCTGTATCTGTATTATCTCTGATACGTTCTCAAATTAAGCAGTTCCAATGAAACATTTATCTTTTCCCTTGATGTGATTTAGAATATGTTTATATCTGTTCCTTTTCATATTTTAAAGCTTTACGTTTTTCTTCACTTCTAATATACTGAGAACAAAGTGAACTTATTTTGATCTCTCTCAATTATACATTTATGAGTTTATTTGTCCTTTGCAGGCAGCCATTCGAAAAGAGCTTAATGAATTTAAAAGCAGTGAAATGGAAGTTCATGAATTAAGTAGGCATCTAACAAGGTAAGCTGAGATTCATTTTTTAAGACTATCAATGAATACTGTTGTTTTCAAAAGGAAAACGCAGCAGCTGCTTCTCCAACACTGACTGAACACACCATGAGGTCTAGACAACATGTAGAATTACAGGCTGTAAAAGAAACTCACACAGACAAACTCATGCTGCCCCGTTATGTGGCGTTACGCAGCCATGTGCTGTCTGTTAATGACATGTAACCTCCCTTTATTTTTTAAGTCTTGGTGCTCTAGCTGCGTGTCTTTTCTCTTGATATTAGAAGTGGTGTTGGTGTCTGAAGGAGGACAGGGAACTCGTGCAGAACCAGCACGTAGGCATGAATGAGCACACACTCAAACCCCACTGAGCATACAGCTGTTCCAAACTACGTGTGTCCCACACACAGGTTGCTCAGTCCCGCCCTCCATATCCTGCTATAGGCAATGCAGTGGAGAAATAGCAAGACTGACATGACGAGAGGCATTATTTTTTAAACTTTTAGACTTGTTTTTGTTGTTTAAAATGTTAGAGGCTGATGCATTATCCATGACCCCAAAGTAACAACCCTCCTCTCTGACAGGCTAGGGCCGAGGCATGCTGGAAGGTCAGGACAAGTCCCCTCACACAGCCTGTGCTGAGCCTGCTCTGGCTTTGATGCTGAGATAAGCTGAATTCCTGGCCTGTCAGCTGAAGCCAGGCCTTTGCAAATCAACCTTAACCCCTGCTCACCGTTAGACATTAAAGACAGGTGTTAGGTATTGGAGACAACTGACAGTCAGATCTGGTGCAGAAATGGAGCTGCCTGTTTATTAATACACTCATCAGCTAGATGCTTGTGAAATATGCAGTCAGTACTGTTAAGAAAAATGTAGAAAAGCTTAAGGCAAAATTAATTTTGTACTAGGGGATTTTAATGTGCATAAATTAATAATTATATTAAAATTCACCACATGTATAAAGCACATACTCCCTTGCAGAAATGATCTTCCGTCTACTTCCTAGCATGTGTTAGGGTGGTTGCACCAGGGTTTGCAGTAACAGAGTGCTGCTGGAGCCAGGCCAGCCGCCTTTGAGCAATAAAGTCTGGAAGAAGCCTTAGGGTGTGCAGTTGGCCTAAATCTGTTGACCCCAGTGACTCAGCCTCTGGGGGACGTTTGGCTCACTCCTCCAGGAGAGCAGTGATACATTTAGAAAGGATGAGGCTCTTTTGTTTTAAAGGGAGTGTTGCTACAAGGAATCAAGCTACAACAGACAGCTCTGTTGACTTCCATGAGGCCTTTAGCATCCCACAAACATAGAGATTGGTTTAGTTTTCCAGAAGTCTCTCTGGCTGCTTGGCTTTCACAGGTTTCTGGGCAGTATTTGCTTCTCTCACAGTGTTGGGGTGAGCTGTGACCCTTTTGAGGTGCTACTGTATCCGAAAGCTGCTGAATGGCTTTGACTCGCTAAGTCTGAGCCAAACATACTCAGGGCTATAGCTAATATAATAGAAATTGGAATAGAAGTTCAGCAGGACTTGCTGGTTAGACAAGTGGCTTTGGGAAATACGCACTTGAAAGAAGGACGCTTAAACAAAATAGAGTAATTCCATTAAACAAACTTAGATAAATCACCATTATAAAATCATTAGCAAGGTAATGAGCTATTCATGTCATTAAGCAGTGGCATGAGCTGAGGAAAGAATGTGAGTGTTGCTTTACTAGTGGGACACATTAATTAATTCATAATGGAGTGAAAAATCAAAGCCTAAATAAAAAACCTCTGCAGAGCTGACAAACCCACAGCTCCTGACACAGGGTGTACTTGCAGAAAGTATGGCCATTTCAGCAGTACTTGCCTCTTTAGCCTCCAGCACTCAGGAATAATCATACATGAACGGTATGTACATCTTTCTGGCTAAGGAGCATAAGTTTTGTCTAAACCAGACAATTTTTTTTGAATCAGTCATGGTGTGGTCTGCAGGAGGAGTGGCTGCTCTGAAATAACTCACTTGGGGATTTGACAGAGTAGACCCAAAGCATATTACTGCATTTGGTAGGTTTTGGTGCAAAGAGTGTTTGCCTATGAACTGTGTGTCAGACTGGCGAGAGCCAAGAAGTGTGTGTGTCTGTTCTGGGTCTGCAGTGCAGCATGGCTGATGTCAGTGCTGCAGGAATTGAGCTGCCTGATGGTGTCACGGTAGCAATTAGCTCTCCAGGTTTCTTTATGTATGACATGCATGTGAGAATATTATCTTAGTATTTCTCTTTTTCCCTCCCCACTTGTGTTTTAGGTTTCATAGACCGTAGCAGTTCAATTCTACCTGACTACTATGCCATCTTCAAAACATAACTATAAGAAACCATAAGTGCTGGTATTATTCATTTCCCCATTACGTACAGTGTAAATCTTCTGAACTGCCTTTAAAAAAAAAAAGTAGAAAAACAAATATTAAAAAAAAAGAAAAATTGTATTTACATGTGATGGGTACTGCAGCATCATCAGACCTGCTGGTTCAAGCTTCAGTAACAGAAAAAGTAACAGAAAATACCCCTGGTGGGAATTGTGCCAAGACTTGGCATCTATGTATAAGACTTTCCTGGCATGTGGATTTGCCATACATGTTCAAGCCCAGCTGGTGGTGCATCCATTTCGTCTTCAGGCACCCTTCATCCTGACAAGCCTCTGTCATCGACTCTAGAGAGCCCTGAGATGGTGTTCAGGGAAGCACTGGCCTGGCTGAAGTCTCCAAAAGACAAGCACCTATGACATTACAGCACTTAAACCAAACACTCCTTTCAGGCTGCAAGCACCTTATGGGGACAATGAAGGAGCAAAACTACTCTATGGGCCAGCCCATCTGTGAATACCATCTGACTAGAAAGGCTTTTCTTTCCCGGGAGAAGTTTATGGCCAGTCAATCCACATTGTTCGGCTCCCAAGCAGAAAAAGGCATCAGCTGTAGAGTACAGGACACCCTACTGAAGGCTGGTTCAGTTCTACCAACTGTTTATTTTTCATCTCTGATTTTCTAAACCCAGTTGTGAACCCATCAGCAGTAAATGACGAGAATGTTAAGGACAGGCAAGCAAAACCCATCTCTTCATAGTCACTGCATGGCATTCACTCAGCTTGTAGTTTGTTTTTACACGCAAGCCTCATGACTGCCTAAGAGCCGACACGCACATCTGGCAGCAAGGCTGGGATTCGCACCGGCTCTGCAGAGGTACATGCGCCAGAAGGAGCTGAGGATTCGGTGAGCAATATCTATCCTTGCTGTATCAGGTGTTTCAAGAACTGATCCTAAACTCACACAGAAAAGCGTGACAGACTGTGTTGCCTGGCCTAACAAAAGGAGTGTGGTGCATTGGTATGGATGGTGGGACTTGTCATTGGCACCCACAGCTGGGGCATAAGGACAGCAATTCAGAAGTGTTCTGGTTTGGTTTTAATTTATTTTTATTATAGTGGTTTAGCACACAAACTGACCAAGTGGAGCTCAGAGAGCGGGTCACTCTGGGCCTGGTTTACCTGCCAATTTAAACACATGCTTAACCAAGTAAGCATGCAAACAGCCTCACTGAATTCAACAGCATGTCTGACAGGCTTAATTGAAGCTGAACACATTCAAGTGCTTTTCTGAACTTAGGCCAGCACCTTCCAGAATCAAGTCCTTAACTAGTACAACGCCAGCAAGCTGGGGCAAACATTGTCTAGAAATCATTTCCAGCTCATACAAGCAACTATTATGCCATGGTTTGGGTCAGTGGCCCAAAGCACTGTAGCAACTTTAAGAAGCTCCAGATTATTACTTCAGGACACCTTTTTTCTTCCCTAATAGCTATTTTGCTTTGACAGTTTGAACAGAGAGGCCAAAGTTTTTTACTACAGTATTCCTATTAATTATTCTGTTTGGGGGTTTTTTCCCTTTCTTATTGTCTTCCATGTACCTACCCACCCTCTGTGCTCCCTCTCTACCTCCCCTGATGATGTGCTAACATTGCCCTTCACTGATCATGGGCTGAGAAGCCTCTTGCACCTGAGCATTCAGTGGCCAATGCTGCTGCAACAGTGCCAACAGTCCTGCCTCTGATGAGGTCTCCACCTCATTCCTCTGGAGGAAGGAGTAAAGCAGAAGGCCTGCTTTGGCACCTACCCTGCCAAAACACTGGCAGTATGGCTAAAGCACTCCATTTACATTTAGTGATGGTACTCGGTACGTCACAGATTTATCTCTGTCGAGAGAGACAAATGAAAACATTTCTCATCTGTGGCCATCCTTGCAATGCTGTACATTATCAGCTATTAAGAATTGGCTTGTAGGATGTTGTAGGATGGAAGATGCTATACAGGAAGTAAAAAATAGCTGGTTTCTGGTGCCTGATGTGATACGCTTCCCAGACTCGGTAATGATTTCCAAAGAAACACACACAGTGATTTCTCTATCACCAGCTCACAGTTGCTTTAGATACAACTTCATCTTTAATGTGCAATGTTATCAGCTCAGTGCAGCAAAGACAGAGCGCGTACATACCAGCCAGGAACACACTGCTGTGGGTTAATTTTCATGAAAACCTGGGGTTCATGTTTTTAAACTCATTCACATACGCATGCACACACAAGAAGACTGCATCACAGCTTTCAAAAAGGAAAACAAAACCCTATGCTTTTGACTACACATACATTGTATTAGGAAAGGGCTCTGCAATATAACTGTTCTGAAGAGTAACAAGCCCTCATGTTCCCATTATGGATCTAATACCTGCCCTGGCATCATTAGCTTAGACATTCCCTATGAAAGGGGAAGGAAAGCCATTCAAGGAGCAGCAGTGACAGAAATCACAGGACTCAGCAGGCTGGTGGGAAGAAAAAGTGAGAATTTTTTCTTTTTTTCTTTTCTTCATTTTCTGGTTAAAATGAAAAGGAAGAGGTGGAATAGAGTCCCTGGGGAATGGGTAGTCTGTGGACAGTCTGGGGCCTGCCTCTGTCCCGTGTGGGCATGGATCCCAGCAGTGCCCACGGCTGCCTGTCTGGTAGCCTAAATAAACCCCAGGACACTGGTTGAGGCACATACCAGCCAAGTCCTGAGGGCCAGATGTTCCCCAGCACCCTGCCTTCATCTGGATGGGCTCACGGTAGGTCCCTGCTGACCACTTGGCGAGTTGTCATGCTCTACCTGCCTCAGGATTCATGCTGTCCCCAGGGCAGCTACTTGCAGCAATGCCTTTTCCTTTTGTTTTCAATTATGTTAACTCCTGGCTGAGCAGACTGCAGGACACAGTGGAAGCACTGCCATATTTCTCCCAAATTGGAAGCAGAGCTTATTACTGAAAAGGTGAAGGGAGAGGAGAAAGAAGCCATATAAAGCGTTTGGCATTGTAATAACCATCACATAACTGGCACTTCATCTGATTTTAGATTCAGTGACTCTGGGTATTTTGCAAAGTCAACCTTTGGCAAGGCATTCTTCAACAACCTGAACACTGGGTTTGCATACCCACCTCTGGCATCCATGGGAAGTTGCAAGCACACTGGGGAAAGCTAGTCCTTTATTTAAAATCTGTTTTCTTGAGCACTTGTCCTCTCTTCTGTGGAAGCCCTCTCTATCACAGCAAAGTAGCTGTGTTCTGTTGGGGTGAAGAAAAAAAACCCAAAACCAACAAAATCATGATTTCCCCACCTTCAACCTTGAATATATGTAGGACATACAGATGATGATGGAATCCCTGCTAAAATTCTGTTAACATTGCAGTTAACACCAGTCAGCCTCATTCCTATTAGGAGGAGATTAACAGTAGTAATAAAGACATTACGTCAGATTTAGAGAATGGAAAAATCAACACAGAACAAAAAATGGCTATTCCGATCATCCATCTCTGGATGATAATGATCTCTGGCTGATAACGGAGGTAATATTCTAGAGTCAAGGAAGAAAAACATTTGATTATAATCTACTGAATCCTCATGGGTTATTTGTACTTAAAATGTGCAAGAGTTGTGACATCTGTTCTACAGCCTGTGGAAAGATGTAGTGGAAACTGGGGGAGCTGGGGAGTTGGTGGGGATTGGAAAAGCTACTCCAAAATGTCTAGAGGAAAGATTTGATTGTTTGAAAAAAAGCAGTGGTGAGGAAATGATGGTGGCATCACCCTCCCACCTGCACCCTCGTCAGGAGGGACCCGACAATGTATTTATGGCTAATGGAGAAGGTGTCAGTGTTGCAGCTTTTCCTCAGTACCATGACCCTCTGGTTATATACTTGCAGGCTGAAGTGTCAGGCTGCAGGTTTGATGGGACAGGCTCAGGCCAGCTTTTGTGTCTAGACAATTCCTCATGTGCACTGTGGACATTACTGGAAGAGGAGAGGGAAGGGGGGAATGGAATTTTATAGACTTCTAACTGTTTAACTGGAACAATTTAGTGAGCCTATTACACAAGCATATTTCAGCCTAATACTTCCATCTAATCACAGCACTCTGTTACCACTGCAACTTGACACCAAACTCTTCCTTTGTTATTTCTACGGTGCTGTCTGCGCTGTGGAAACATTACAAACCCACAGAGGGGGAGAAATTCCAACATGCCTAGTAAAAGCTTGCACACATAGAAATAGATGGTCAAGATGGAAACCCACAGTTACGCGTGAATGAGGGCTCCCTAACGTGCCTGCAAATAAAATCACTTTGTATAAATAGCCATGGGAGATGACTAGGCTAATAAAAATATCAGGAAAGAAAAAGGGAATAAACAATTTTTCCCAGGTGTTTGGTCTGCCCGAGCTTGGAACAACTTCTGTAAACAAAGAAGAGGTGATGGGCACATTACCTGTGTTCTCATGTATCCCAGTTACTCCTGCACCAGTTGCATTTTCCAGTTGATATCCAAGTGTATGTATATAGTTTGTCTTTGTATAGGAGTGAGTGTGGTGGCTGTTAATCGTGCTCTTCCAGTATTGTAATTTAACAGATTATGGCTGTATGAAAATGATGTAAATAACTAGAAAAAAAATTAAACTGGATCTCTATGTCCTAGTTTTTGTACATACTGAAACTGCATGGTATTTAAATTATTGTTTGTCTCTGATGTATGCAGTTTCTTAAAAAAATTCATTTAAAAAAAGCATTCCTGTGCCTGTGTATTTTATCACCCTCTGTTCCAGTGATTGATAGTGTAACAAAGGGATGCAATAGAGGATAGCAGCCCTCCTGCTGCCAGCCAGGCTCAGCACTACAGCCTGGCAGCTGCAGCGACATAGTGCATGCCCACAGCATGCTCACACCTCAGTGGGAAGCAAAGCAGAACAAGACTTACCAGAACAGATTGAGGGGACACCATATCAACTGAGACACTAGTGCTGTCTCGTGAGCTGGATCAGTAAAGATGTGTGAAGGAAGATGACTGGTACCTCAGCTGCTTAAGTTGTACCCAGCACCAGGCTAGTAAAGGACGAAAACTGACAGTCTGCACTAGACACGCTCACACCCCATAACACTGGGAACCCAAACCCAACTCTCCCTTCCCTGTTCACAAGTTTTTGTCCACTATGCAGCACCCTGTGGTTATAGCAAACATCACTGAGCAGTACTAGCAAGTGCTGTTGCAGCAGAAGAGCTGTACCTGCACATCCACCTACTTTCATACCACCTTATCATCTTTTCCTCAGTAGCTTCTGTGGTTGCACAGCATTTCAGGCTGTGACAAGCTGCAGCCAGTGTGAAAGGGTGAAGAAAAACCTTCTTGACCAGGGTAAGTACGTACCTTCAAACAGTCTCACTAGCAGCCTGCAGAAAGCACAGAAGGTAACAGCGCTGTGTAGGCTCTTTAGTTTTCGTAACTGATGGTGCAAAAATTTGGACCCCTAAGAGACAACCAGCACCAGCATCCTCACTGTAACTGGCAGGTGGGAGCCACTTCCCTCCTCTGATGCACCCAGCCTTCCCACTACATAAAAATGAAAGGTCCATATACTTTAACTGACCAAATTCTTTGTTTCCTTTTGCGTAAGTTTTCACTAACCTACTGTGTCTTCAGTAAAGTCCATGTAATTCCTAGCACTCAAAACTGCAATCTAACACCACCTTTAGGTTGGAAACAGAGAAGGCTGAAAAAACCCCACAATTTCCTATTAAACTGTCACACATGCAAAACCACAGTGCTGCTTAGCAGTACCTGGCTAAGAGCTCAGTGCCCTTGGTGCAGGTATGGGGTGAGACTGCTTTGCTATCATGTTCCTCACCTCCGATTCTGCCCTTCACAGCTCAGATCAGGGCTCCCTGGCAACCAAGTCCAAAACAAACAGCATGGCCATGCCCTGGTCACACAGTTGAGCCAGTCTGCATGGGACAAAGCGGCCACCCTCCTGAGCAGCGCAAGCTGATAGCTTCTGGTGTGCACTCCATCATCCCCACATCCGTCAGGGCACAATGCGGAGGTGCACCACCATCCTGCACTCACCCAGACAAGCACTGCCTAGCCATTGTACAAAAATTGCTTACAGAAGTCTTTCCCTAAGTGGCAGAATGCATGAAAGCCTGGCTGGTCAGTGAATTTGTGCTGCGTGGTTAGGAACGCCGGTGTTCAGAGAGACACCCTCTTCAATTGAAGTCATCCCATGTGTCCCTGGAAGTTTTGCTCTTATCAGCAGGAACCTACTCTCCAACATTGTTACTTGATCAGCTCTAAATTACTGTACTTCAGCCACTTCTGTCTCCACACTCTTACACTTTTCTTCACATACTCTTAGGCCCCTTGGCAGACTTCAAATCACTCATCTTTTTTCAAGCATCATCCTCTGACATCTGCCATTACTTTTCTTATCTGGAGTTTCCATCACATTTGGACATCAGCTGGAAAAGATTTGGTGCAACACAGGAGAGCACAGACATGTGGCATTGCTCTAAACCTCTCTGGAGAGAAAGTACTGCTTGAGGGAAGAACTGGACCAAATTAAGTGTATTTTTCTTGTTTTCAAAGCCCATGAAGATATTTGGCAGGAGAAGGCTTGAGGGGGGAGCTTTCACTCTCCAACATGAATGCTTCAGTGTTGTTTCTATTGTTTCCAGGGGAAAAAAAAAAGGGGGGGGGGGGAGGGGGGAATAAACCAAAAAACACTCTCAGCAGCTAGTTCTTTATGAACAAACAGGCACACAACAAGCAGTTACATGCTCTGCCAGTCAGGGAGAAATAATGCAAACAAAGACAAAATACCTCATTTTTCAAGCTTCTCAAGAAAAATGAACATCCACAGTCCTCCTGAATGACATAGAGGTAACAGAAAACAAATAGCAAAGGTAACCCCTTTCCCATATTACCTAGCCAGGGATTTGCATTGGAGGCTCAACTATGTGCAACTTCAAAATCATCTGCGTAAGGCAATAGTCCACAGCAGGTAAATAACCAAACTTGAACTGCCTACTACACTATTTGTGGTGTTCAAGAGGTACAAAAGCAATTGTTAGCCACATATGCCAAACTCCAGGCTGGAAGCACAGACCAAGGCTGCCTAAATAGCTGATTCCACTCTAAGCTGTCTTGCCTCAGCCGCACCCTGATCATCACATGGTGGGGACAGTGAAAGCTCACATCTTGCTTTTGTGCTCTCTTGGGAAGCAGGTCTCAGAGCTAACGCCTTATGTTCAACTGAGCAGACATCACAAAAAATTAACTGAGAGTAAGTTAGCCAGATTCATACTTTCAGTCTCTTGGGAATTCAGTCAGTTTTCTGCATAAACTGTATCCCTCATAAATCCACAGTGAAAGCCCGGAAATGGATCTGTTCAGATACACACGAATATCTCTTATGAGATCAGTGAAGGAAGCATGGAGTTAAACCACTATCTATTCCCTAGAGAACTCCCCTCTTTCAGCATAGCCCAGAAGAAATAATGAACTCCATTAAAGAAACACCCTGTTCTTTGTACATGAAACTGAAAAAGCTGCATACAAACGTCAGCTGACATTACAGTGGAGCAACGTTTGAGGATCCATCCCACATACACTGAATATGTTTAAGTAAAACTGCTGTTGCTCATGTGGAAACATGAGGTTTTTACTGTGAGGATGACCAAGCACAGGCACAGGTTACCCAGAGAGGCAGTGGACTCTCCCTCCCCATAGACATTCAAAAGCTGTCTGGACATGGTCTAGGGCAACTGGCTCTAGGTGGCCCTGCTTGAGCAGGGGGTTGGACCCAGTGACCTCCAGAGGTCCCTTCCAGCCTCAACCCTTCTATGACTCTGTGAAGGCAGACCTCTGTCTCTCATCTGTGCAGCTCCAGGACCTGCCTATTGATGGAAAAAAGGCTTTAAATTAAAAACTAACCGCCCCACAGAAAGCAACGTTTAGAGCCTCCAGTCAAACAGTGATCATCACTGAGAGCACTCACTGGCAAGTCTGGGAGCAATAACACTAACGGGTAATTCTAATCCTGATTCAGTGCATCTCTCTTCACAGAATACGAGTTATTGATTTCCTTTCAGGACTGAAACTACTTAACACCTCCAGTGTCATCACTGCTTGTTTTTTTAATAACTAAGTAATCTGCTGTCTAAAGGTCTGAATAATGTGTATGTGACTTTGGAGGTTTTGTGAGTAAGCTGTGCAGCCTGAGGGAAAAATGATCAAATGGATACTCTCTCAGACTGCACCTGCAGCCACTACTTGAAAATCTTGTGCACTGCATGTTACAGAATTCAGTGCTGTTATTCACAGAATGTATATGCTCTTTCCTATCCATGCTACCCAGCTTTCATGCCTAGGCTAGGAAAACAAGCTCCCATCTGAAGTGAACTAAATGGATTGCACTACAATACAGACACAGCAACGGCTTTCAGAGCAGACACAAACTTTTTTTCTGAACTGAGGGAAATGAGGCATTTCCAGACGCACCAACAGCAGCATCTCAGAATCCAGCACAAATAATCTACCCATGTTTTTTTTAGGTGTAGCCTGCTTGGAAGTCCCAAGCTTCCCCAGTGTATGTTTTGGAAGATAAACCTGACCTACTTTAAAATTAAAGTTAACTTTCTAAAGCATTTCAAGTCTGCACGACACTGACTGCAAGCTAAACACACTCTTTCAAGTGCCATGAGCATACTTGGCACATGGCATACTAAGCATCAATTTGAGACAAGTAACAGCTAAGCAACACATTTTTATATACAATTCCCTGGTCTATGCAAGATGTAGAAATAGGATTTTACACTTTTACAAGAAAAAGATCAGTTCTCCAGCAAATCACTACCTATGGCTAATCACACTACTTTTACTGACATAATGAATTCCATTTGTGTGTTAAATTTATTTTGAAATCTAAACCAAACAAGAATCAAATTACAACCTTGAGCTAAGCATTCAAGAGAGGCATTGTTTAATACTGGACTGTAATTCAGAACTATATTGACTCGTCCCACTGATTTTCTCCGTACCTGCCCAAAGCTACATTTTGGGACAAAACAGATCCACTATTCTACAGCACCTTACCTGAAGAACAAAGGAGGAGGTACAGCCAGAGAAAGCTGGCTGACAAACAAAAAGAAAATATTTTAAGTCACTTCAGAAATGCATGCCACCCTGGATCACTGTGATGCCCTCTACCTCAAACTTGTGATGCCTCTTCTTGAACATTTACCTGAAATTTTACAGTACTAATAGAGTACAGTTACATTTCTAGTATTCACCAATGAGCTCCAGCACACTAACATTTAATAAATTCACCTTATAACACCTCCAAGTACTAACTAGTTATATCAAGTATAAACTGGCATACAAAAACATTTTTAAATTACAAGTCTATCTACCTTGCTTCAAGAGTCACATTTACTTCCCCAAAAGGCAGTGCGCACACTGTGCAATCAGAGCACTGTAGCTGGCTGGCCAGGAAACACTCTGGACATGATCACACTGCCACTAGGTATCTTTATGCCATCTGTATTTATTGAAAAATATTTACATATTGATCACCATGCTATTAGCTGCCTTAGTAGCATCTTTACATAAAAGAGGTAATGAAGAACATCACACTAGGATAGGGGAAGAGTGGTGAAATGTCTTTTCAAATGTCCCTTTTTTTCCCCAAGCTGTCATAAGCAAAGAAAGTTCTCAGACTGAGTGTGCTGGAGTCCCACAGTGTGTGCGCCACAGATCAACAGCTTTGCTGACAATAGCATCAGTGTTATCTTGAGGAATCTACAAAAGATCAGGACAAAATGCCTTGTCAGAGTACTTCATATGGACTATTTGATTTAAAATACAGGTTTTAATTTCCAGTTCAGGTTTTCTCTCATTATAAAAAAGAAAACTAAACTAGAATCCCATCTCCCCACCCTACCATCCCACCATCCCTCAGTCCTTCATGCATCATATTGCTTCCAGCTTTTAAACAAAAACCCTCTATTTACAAAAGGGTAAGGTGACCACCAGGCATCTCACACTTCAGACATTTCTAACCTGACATCATGCAGAATTCGTACTGACCATCCATGACCACAAACACGTCTAACCTAACTAACCTAGGTTACACTGGGATCCTATAGCCCTGCTGTGATGCTCACTACTATTCTCAGCAGGAAAGTTCGGGGTCATGTTAATGACCCCATCCCTACATCAACAGAAAACGTACCCTGACTCTATAGATTCACATTCAGACAAGGAGCAAAGAAAGTGACAGAAACCAACCCTCTAAGGAGCTTCCAGAAACATTAACCTAACCTCACCTGCACTTACTTTCACAGAAAAGCCCTTCAGTATCACAAGGAATACTGCCAAATCTGTACAAACATGGATGACATTGCCAAAGCCTTCACTCTATGAAAGCCTTACCTCTGGACAGAAAAAAACTACTGTTCTCATGCCTGCGCATTCTCTCTTCACCTTGGTACTACTGTATTATTCTCAGTAAGTAAGGGATAGTATTCTATGGTACGTTTTAAACATGCAAATGACTAAGGATGAAAGACATGTTTATAAACCATAAAAGGTAATGCGAAGCACAACAGAGTACTTACATTTTCCAAAAACTGCGTGATCTTTTCTGCAGTATTCAGTGCTATTATCTTCATTTTAAAGGTTAGTAATATCTCCACAGCAACGAAAACAAGAATCTTGCAGGACCCACTTATAACTTTGTCCCAAACTCTACAAAAAAGAAAAATGAAAAGGAATAACCAAACATTATGTAGTGCTTATCTGCTTTTTTATCTGCTAGAACAGTCTTCGCATAATCCCATTTTTCCAGACTTTTTCTCTGAATAACAGTAATGTATTGAATTATTCCAGTCAAGGTAAACAAAAGACATTTTATCAACTCCTGCATCTGTAGAGAGCAGAGTGACAGCACATAATAACATACTGATATGGTGTGGTCTTGTTTAGAAATGGGACTGTTTACAAGCTCAAATACAGAAAGCAAATCTTGTTTTAATAGCCTGAACTGTGACAACAATTCTACAGCATATGGTATAGGTGTGAATTTTTCCTAGTGCAAAAAGAAAACAAGCTTTATTACCATGCCTAATAAAGACACTCTTCAGACAGCTAAGTAGCTGAGAATTCAGAAAGATGTAATACTTAGCAACTACATCTCAAGAATCTAAGTATTCCAGGTCACTGCTGTATGAGAAGCAAACAGGATGCATCAGCAGGATACAAGCCGTGATGTTGAAATTAGACAGGAAGAACAACTATTAAGTCTTTCAATCCATCCCACTGTGTGCACAGACTCTCAGAATTACCTAAGCATTCCTACCACTTGTAGGAAACTGTCCCTGGATCTCACAATTTTAACAAAAGCTAAAGGGCAGGCCTCCAAAGGCTGCAGGTACTTTAGCAACAGAACTTTGATGAATATTAAAAAGGATCCTCACTACCAAAACAGCCTGCAACAATCTGAAATCATCCGTCATCCAGCAGCTCTATCTCAGTCCCAACTCAACAGACTCGGGATGAAAGATTATCCAAAACCAGTGTGAAACCATCTGTCAGATGGCAGCTTTTATGAGTTTGCTTTATTTTTAGTTCTTGAATTTTAAGAGCTGCGTCAGAAAGACTTTCTGAGGATTACTGTTCTTGCTCCCCCTGGGCACTTGTTAACAGTATTTCTCCTTCCAAATAAAACCATGGAGGACAAAGATCACATACTATCCTCCACAATCTCTGAATACAGTAACATTAACTGGAAAACATCTTTTGCAGCCAACCCATAAACTTGGATCTATGGGTGTGCTTCTTCCAAAGACAGGTCAGCTTTTATATGACCTTTTCTCTCAGAACTTGCCCTTCAGCCCTGAATGCCAGGAGAACACAATGCAGGCATAACATGAACTCTGACAGCTGAACTAAAGAGCGGGTGTCACACCTTTAAATGAGTTAAGAAGTGAGACTCCAACAAGGAGCCATTAAAATGATTAAGGGACTGAAATATTTCTCCTGTTAGGAAAGGCTGAGAGAGCTGGGGCTGTTCAGCCGGAAGGAGAGAAGGCTCAGGGGGAACTCATCAATGTGTATAAATACACGAAGGGAGAGTGCAAAAAAGATGGAGCCAGGCTCTCCTTAGTGGTGCCCGGTGACAGGACCAGAAGGACAAACTGAAACACAAGAGGTTCTCTCTGAACATCAGGAAACACTTTTTCACTGTGACAGTGACCAAGCACTGGCACGGGCTGCCCAGGGCAACTTCCTGCTTGAGCAGAGGGGCTGGAAGAACCAGATGACATCCAGAGGTCCCTGCCAACCCCAACCTCTCTGTGATTTTTTGTGAAAAGCATTTGTAACTCCTAATGCCAAATGCTTGCTGCTGTTACACAATGCTTATTTTTCACACTGTAACTCAAGTCAATTCTCGGTCAGTTTCTTAACCTTCTATTCATACAATTCTTTTGACACTGTATTCACCACCTCTTCATTCTTAAAAAAAAAAAAAAAAAAAAGACCAGAATTTAACTTACAGTGAAGAAATGAGGAAAGAAGTATGTCAAATCCTCAAGACTACTCTTAAAAAATAAAAGAAAGGAAACAAACAAAAGCCATACAGAGACAGATGGGTAAAAAGGTACTGCCTATTTCTTTCCCCTTTACAATTCAGTCTTAATTCCCTGTCTCACTGTGATTAAAAAAAAAAATAAAAGAATTCCAATATAGGCAGGAACAATTAATAATTCAGTTTAAAATCTTACTGCTTCCTTTGTGATTCAAGCATCCAGGCCAAGTGTTCACTGTAAATATCCCACTGGTGTTGAAGTCAGGTCTAGAAGCTTTAAGCAAGGCTATGAGAAAACTGGACAGGTCAACCCTGTTTACTTCTAATGCATTTTCCTTCACAAATGTATCTGTTTACAATCCAAGAGCAGCTCCCCAAGCATTTTGCAGCCATCAGAACTATAAGTTTTGAATGACAGTACTGAGAGCAGCAGACCTCAAAAACAGCAAAAAAATTTTAACATTCATATTGAAGTTCAGGCTAATTCAAAACCAAATTTACTAATCCTAATACAAAACACCCAGCCTTCTTTCATTATTTTGCTTCCAAGTCTTCTGACTTGAGTCTCCATAATTATATTACAGGAGGTTACATTTCACGCTCTCCTGCACCATTTAGTCTGATTCCAGAACAAATGTTTTAACACTGGCAAAACAGATAGTATCTAAATCATCAGTGTCTACCAAGTTTTGGAAGAAGGTGCACAGAAAAGTGGATGAGATGTCAGCACTAACCAGCTGTGTCTGCTGCAGTATTTTTCACTTTAACATTTCCAGCTATTGTTACTCCACCAGCAACAGCAACAGGGGAATGACTGTGACATTGTGATAAACAGAGCAGCACTCAACACCTTGCTATCCCAAAAGAGCCAGGGATGACAACATAAACTGTCAGCAAAGGGTTTAATTAGAGTAGAAATAACCCACAGCAGTTCCAAGGAAACATGTATTTTGCCAATTCTATTCTAATACAGTAGCCTTTACACATTGTGTCTCTAGAGATGATAACCTATGTATTCTGCTTTCACTTTTTAAGTTAACACCAAGCACTTAAGACAAAGTTTCCTGACAGAGATTGCAACTTTTTACTCATTTTTTTTGATACTCCTGGAGATGGGGTAACTAGAACAGAAATGTCCTGCAACTGTGCCTATAGCCCTACTCAGGAATGATGAAAAAGAAAGCACACAATAAATTCATTATAGTTTTTGTGACTATCATTCTCTGTGAAAGACAAAAGTATTCAATTAACCACAGGAGCACTCTAGTATTTCTTGAACAGTAAAACAGTAACAACCGCAAGGAAAAATAAAGACAAGAAGCTACGAAGGTAAAGAGCATGCCAAGGATTATGCAAATGAACCCATTTACTTTTCACTGATTTTTTTCTCTAGACAAGATACAACTTACCCTCAACACAGTTCATGAGGCTCCTCAACCATGACTGTCAAGCAGTATGCAAAAAGCATCACATCACTGCTGCTCACTCTTTTTCATAGATACTGTCATTAACCTCACATGTCACATATCACACCTCTCATACAGCCCCTAAGCTGCAGGGTAAACACTCTCAACCTTATTCCCTGGTTTTAGTCCTCCAGTCACCCAGAGACATTCAAAGAGAACCTGTTTAAACCTCTGCCTGCACTTACTGGTGTCCTTACCAGAGGTGCGAGGCAACTGAGTTACTTAAAGGCAAATCAACCTAAGTTTCTCTATACTAGTCCACATGAATATTCTTATGTCCTCCCACTCTATAGTAAATCTAAGGCATTCTTCATATTTCTGTTGTTTCTACTAACAAATTACTTGCATTTTCATGACTAGATGCAATTTATGCAGCACACGGAGATGACAGATGTCAAACTCTAGAAAACATGCATTAACACATGATGTAGTGCCAGTCTGAAAGGCAGTCAAGACATTTCAAGAGAACTACCAAATACTTTGCCACAAACAAGTTACCAGAGGCTAATAACCTAACACCACCCCACCAGCTATTACGGTCCTGCTAATGCCAAGTCTTCAGTGCAGAATGCAAACAGTGTCAGTCAGGGGGAGGATACTCGATTGACAATGAGGCCATAAGAAATGCCTGGCTTACCACTATTTTATCTGCAAAGCCACACTACTACTGATGCAGCTGGATCACCTGGGGTGACTGCTGGAATAAACTGGCAAACAAAGCGCCATTTTGCCCGTAGAGCAGAAGCCACAGAAGGGACAATAAGCTTTAACAGCAGGGCTCTCCAGCTAAGGGCCTACACAGCACCACTGGAAAGCTCTCCACACATGGAGCTTACTGAACAGATGACTAGATATACTGTTGCATAAAATGAGTAAATACAGCAATGGTGGGTAGAAAAACAAAAGGTGTGATCCAGTTCTCTCCCTGTTTCAGCAAAAAGTAAGCCTTTATTGCCTGTGCTACAGGCTAGTTCATGTCCCAGGAAGCATCCTGCCTATCTTCCAGGTGGGAGGCAGAGCTCTGAAGATACAGTGCCTTCAAAATGCCCACTTTGCTCCTTTCTTTTACCTCTCTTTTACCATTGGTAAATGCTTGTTACGAAGTGTGTTGCATAATATTTCAAATGCAAACAAAGGGGCTAGCAAGGACACTGGCTAAGATCAAAGGAAAAGTTTCTACATTAAACCTGCCTATATAAATTTTCCAAGTCCATTTAAATTAAACTGGTACATAAATTTTACCTATGCTATACGTGTGCTATAAACCAGTATTTACACTGAATGACAATGTCTGTCAGGAGTAAAGCTGGTATTATGCAACCTCATATCACCAGTATTGGATAAATTTCTGCATAGCATATACAAATCTTATACACCTTAGAGAAAAAGAGAAAACCATGAAATTTAGATTCAGCTGCCTGGCAGAGATGCATACAATTTATAAAAAGCAAGCAACATCTCTAAGAAATACAGTGCTAAGTCATAAGTTAAATTAAATCACATAAGACTGAGCTCTGATCATCTCTCACTTGACAAAAAGTAAGTAAAACCCAGAGAACTGGAGACCTGTTTTTAATTCTCAGCAGTTCCAACACTGGCATTTGGATACATTTCAGATAAGCATTTGGGCTTCTAGATTCTAATCCAAACTGAAGCAATCCAAGCATTAATTAAGTTCATCTGTCACATGTTACCCACAAAGTACGTTATTTCCTTAGCAAATGAGGCTGTTATGATTACAACTGAATAATGCAGAAACCTAAACTGGCAATAAAAAGTGCACCTTTATCATGTTCCCACAAGAACTGTTGGGAAAAGGAATTGCTGCGCCATTAGAAGCACTAACACTGAAATTTGGGTTTACTCCAGAGTGATACAAAAAGACAGTATTTTGACCTTTTCCAGGAGGAAAAAGAATGTATTAAAAAAAATTCTGGTCATCAACATATTCTACTTCAGTAAGGTAAAACAGTATATAACAATGCTGAACAGCACACTAGCTATACAAACTATTTTGTAAAAATTAACCGATTCAAAATGATAGAAGTTTGAAACTAAAAGATTCTAACAAGATGAAATATGAAATCAAAATTCATCCACATTTTTTCTTTTACACTACTAAGATGACACAGCTCCATAAAATGTTACATTTTCAGCAGAAATTTTTTTAAAAATCCCAAATCATCCAAGAGCAAAACTGATGCAAATTCGTCTTCCAGTTCAAGTTCTCAGCTCTGAGACCTAGTAGTAAAATTGAATCACATAAACTCTAAAGAAAACTAGCTACTAGAAGACATGTAAAGAGGTTCCTTATGCAGTAGTGTGCAAAGGCTATTTCAGATCACAGAAGCCTACAGAAGAAAAGGCCTGAAAAGGCTGGGAAGTCCCAGGTAGAACAGTCACTTCTCCTGACAGTCATTTAAATGTTAAGGCAATAAGTTTCATACAAAGAAAGCATAATGAAACAAGGTCAATCATTACCCACTGAAAGTAACCTATAAATGCAAATGTGAAATCAAGATACAGGCAAACCATACACGTCCAACTGCTTTTAAGGAAGTAACAAACCTTTCATGCATGCTTACATAATTCTGTAACCATAAGAGCAGTAGATGCTTTTACCCACCACATCACACGCAAACACTACATAGAGGTGCCTAATTTGCAGCATTACAGGTGGTTGATGAAAAGCACTTACCACGTAAAAATTACCATGCTGCAAACAGCAGAACACCTAAAGGTCTACTCCCAAATCCTCCAGTTTTCATTCAATTTTTTTTTCCCTCTGAGACACATTCCTTGCCAAAACAGAACCTCAAAGACCATGGTACGACAAGACTAGAGAGCATGATTTCTAATGACATAGCTTGTTCCTAAAATCCCTTATTTTCATACGGGCAAATAGAACATTTTTATTGAAACACCATAAAGCACTTCCTGAAGAGCATTTTACAGAGGTTGCTGTTTCCACACTAAGCTCCTATACCAGCCACTGAAGTCCTGGAGTAAAACTTCACTTGAACCTTGTTGCTGCTCAAAGTTTTCAGGCAGCTGAAAATGAAACCATTGTTTTCTTTGTGCCACCTACTGCTCAGCTACTAGCAACTCTTGTTAATGCAGAAAGGACATACTTTTCTACGTGTAGCTTGAATTTTCTTCTTTCTAAGAGTCCTCATGCAGCAAAACTACAGAAATAATACAAGCTTCATTTCAAAAGCCCTTCCGTGAAGATCCATGCACAAGAGTTTTCCTCTTTTAAATGCCCAATTAAGTTGCTAAGTGGCAGCCCACCCAACAACCTCTGCCCCAGTTTTAATGCTGAGCATGATGCCATCCAGTATGGAATATCCTTTGGGACAGCTGGGGCAGCTGTCCAGGCTGTGTCCCCTCCTAACTTATTGTGAACCCCCAGCCTGCTCGATGGTGGGGTGGTGTAAGGAGCAGAAAAGGCCTCGGCTCTGTGTAAGCGCTGCTCAGCAACAACTAAAACATTTCCGTGTGTTATCAACACTGTTTTCAGCACAAATCCAAAATATTGCCCCATACCAGCTACTATGAAGAAATATAACTCTTTACCAGCCAATACCAGTACATATTTCCAAAATCTTTTTAATCTAATGATAATACAGTATCATAACCACTCCCTAAGCAAGGATTTTGGTTAAAAAGCCTGAAAACCAACTACCATTCAGCTGTCACTAAAAGGGGATTTGTAGTTTTAAATCTCAGGAGTCATTAAGTGCCTAATGGAATCAGCCTCTATATTTAACTCCATTCTTTTGTAATTTCAGTGCCAGAAACGATCACACAGAGATTATCTTGCATCAATAACAAGTGGAATCAAATCCAATTTCATAATTTCCAAGTCAACAGTAAACTCCATAATCTTACAAATAAATTAAGAAAAACTCTTTGCCTGCTAGCGATTACAAAAACTTGTACTACTATATAATTACAAACAGAAAGAAAAAAAAAAGATCACTTGCCTCTGTAAACTGCACTCAGGTAAACAGCCTGCAAAACACTTTTTAAACCAAAGATCGTAAGGGAGTTTGCTCACGGCAGCACATGCTTTTAGATGCATCAGCAGTCGGTTATCTTCAATGTTCAAATACTGCTCCAGAATTTTTGGCTGTGAAAAGAATTGGAAAATTTTAGGTAACTCACATCAGAGTACGCTCCACAGTTAACACACACTGACAGATACAAAATGTCTTAAAAATTCAATCTCATAAAATAATGTACTGAAATAATGAACTCGCGTTGTTTTAACTACACATATGATGTGCCAAAATACATGACTTTTGCAAGTAGCTAATTAAGTACTTCTTAACTAAACAACCAACCATATGTTCCTCAAATTGCTGACCGTATTCAGCGTTCCCTAACGCAATGAGGTGTTTGAGACCTTAAGGCAATGCAGAGATCAAACGTGCACTAATTACTGCCATCTTCACAAGTAACACTGAGTTTCATTCACCTCAAACATAATCATCTTAGCACACATCAAAAAAAATCTTCACACAATGCAGCAAACCCCAGAAAATCAATTCTGGAAGCAAATCCCTGCGCAACATATTAAAACCTGGACATTAATTTCTTGTTTAAAAACCAAAACTATTCAGAAGTATAAACACGTGGACAATTCTCCACATAAAAATATGAATAACTCATTTTGTTTAAATGCTAATCTAATACACATTTTCATAAATTCGGAAGTACCTTTATGCTTTCTGCCATAATTAGGTAGACAGCTAATGACTTCACCTGTCAAAGGTAGAAAACGCTTCCTTTGTCCATATTCTAAAATCCAACATCTTGGTACAATGTTTGTGTTAGAACAAAAACTTAGGGAGGGAGGCAATTCACTCTTTCTTTGTACCAAAAGCACATACTTTAAAAATGCTCTTCTGTCCTTTGAAAAGAATTATAGAAATGGGTACAGCTGAATATATCACCTCCAGCAACAGGAAGTGGGTTTAAAAAGTATTTCTTTGTTCCAAAGAGTAACAAACAAAGGACATGCATAATTTTCTCCAACTAATTTTCATTCAGCAATTGCTAATGCATGGCTACTATTATGTCAGTAATCGGCGTTACCTCAAGTTTTTTATTTGTTAAGACAATTTGAAGAATTACAAAATAAGTATGCATGTAAGTATGCATTTTTCTTTACAACGAAATTATAATTTTACAAACCACTAAGAAATGAGAGCATTTAAATGATCAGTGCCAGAAGAACTCTATTCTACTTTTCATTATAATTTAATTTGTAACACACTGATTTTCTGAAGATCTTGTACCCTGCTCCATTTAAAAACAGAACAATTGTGCTTTGTCTATCATCCAATAATTATCAGATGGATGCCAGAGATGCAGCCTAAAAAGTAGCAGACAAGTTGTTCCTAACTTTGTGATATTTTTAATTGCTTAAAATAAAGAAAATTCTTAAGTGACCAATTTGTGAGAAATACAATTCAACTACATACAAAGTAAGCTTTAGCTAACCTAAAAGTAAAATAAGATGTAATTGATGTAGCAAATAAAAACAATTTCTAATGTTATGTTAGACAGTGTCCTACAGGACAGCACAATCACAATACAAAAAGCACTCCCATTTTCTCAAAACAGGTGGTGAAGAGAAATCAAAGGTGTCATCTCTGCTGCTCCAGCTGTCTCCACATGTTAATGCTTTCCATGACTGGCTCTCCTTGGAAAAACAAACAAACAAACAAAACACAACCAAAAAAACAGAAGGCGTTTTTTTCTTCCTTACCAGTTGTTGTAATGAATCTTTGTGCTTGCTGTTTAGCTGATTCACAAAGCAACTGACAAGCCAATAGCATTCTATAGGATCCTCCACCATTTCCTCCATTGCTTTAGCAATAGCAAGAAACACTTCATCTTCAGGTTCCTGGAAAACAAAGCCAAAAAAAGTGAACTACATATCTGATTTAAATTATTTTTATATTCCTTTTCTTTGCATTATGGTAACAGATACCTATTAATACAGTACAAGTCAAGACTTGCCTTGCTTTTAAAACGAGAACATACAACAGGAGTTTGGAACAACTTTGATTCAAAGCTCTCAAATGAGATAATATTACATCCTAACAAGGTAGCAATACTCCTGCTTCTATACCCAATATTTTTATACTGCACAGCAGCAAAATCCTCCATCCTGTTCCTTGCTAGGGGCCAAACAGGCCCCTCAAACACTTCTCTCACGGTTGTTACAGTTACTGTTAAAAAAATAATGCAGCCATGAGCTGTAAACCTACCTTCAAATTACAGAAAATCATTTGGTTTGAGATAAACATCTTCCTGAAGACAAGTATCTTTTCTAGGTGATGAGCATCTTATTCCCCACAATACATGACCAGAAGCATGTGATGGGCACACCATCTTCTTTTCTCCTGAGAATACGCTTTCCTAACAGAAGTATCAGCATGTCTAGAACACAGTTACTGGTATGACTGCACATAGGGTAGATGGAGGTGAACTGGCTCTAAACCAGCAAGACCTCATGCCAACAGCTAGGTCAGGAAGTAGCTAAACTGGGAAGGTGCACAAGGCAAATCTCTTAAATTTGCCCTGTTTCTTACAGTCGTCTTTATACAGGCAGTACTGACCACATTAAGAGGCAGGGCAACAAGCCAGACAGGTATCCAGAGTCTGATCTACTGTAACCTCCAGTAGCAGTAAACTACAGTAACACAGGCTTTTGCACAGATTATAACTTGTGCAAAATGAGTGGATAGTCCAAATACTTCTGGGATATGCCTCTGCTACATGGACTGATGCAATACACACATACCCCTACTTAAACTCGCTTCTTACACAACATACTTAGCAGACTTCTGTGATTTCTTACTCAAACGTTTAAAATGTTGAGACCAATTCAACACCACCTTTATACTCCCCCTGCCTCCACAATAAAACATCTGCATTACCATCTAACAGTGACCTCTTGTAAGTTTAAGAGGACAGTTACTGCACTGAAAAGAGGCTGTCATATAGAGAACAAATGCTTTCTGCAGCAAAACAAAAATAAGTTATAGGTCTAATTTGCTGAACACCATTTCCATGAAACCCCATAACAGGACTGAGAGCAGCTAGTGCTCTAGGATGCACTGACACGTGACCAAAAAGTAGTGCTGCTTCAGAAGGGATGAATTTCAGCCCACTAGGACACATACCAAAATCAAGGAAATTTCTCTATAGGAAACCTGTATGGCAGGATGGCCACATTCCCAGGTAATGCTAAAGGCAAGAAAACACTCTCCCTCCTCTAAAAAGAGAAAGCTGTATATAATCCTCCAAAGCCTTACTGAATTTTCCATGTTGAGTTCGTTTAACTTTTTTTTTTTTTTCAACTTTAAAACCATGTGTCAGATTTTACATGTGTCAGAAATAACAAAGTAAGTTGGGCCATGGTTAAATTAACATTAAATACAGGATAAAATTCACTTCAGAAAGTCCCACCATGGCTCCTTTCATCACCTGCTCTTTCATACAGGCTTATACACAAGATCCACACATTGCTTTCATCACCACACTACAGACTTATCATCAAACCATAGATTTGTTTACCCTTATGTGAGTATTCTCTAAACTACACAACACATGACCTCACAGAAACCTGGATAAGTTCACCCTAACAGAAAAAGGAGGTCAGTAAATTAAAGTCTAGATTTAAAACCAAATGATTTAAATATACAATGTAATCTGCAATAAATTGCTGCTTGTACTGGCTCTGAATTATCCTTGTTCCAGGACATTGAAGAATCTATGAGCTCTAGTAAGACCGTCATTTTCATTTCAGTACTATAAAGAAACTGTACGGTGCACGGAATACAAAAGGCTTAAAAACCTAACAGGCAAAATACACAAAAGAGATTTTAAGGCATAAAATTTAAAGTAAGTACACAGGGGAAGAAAAAGAGAATAGCACTTCAACTAAAATCCCCAAGAATCCCTTGTAATTTCATATTAGTACTTCTCTGGTTTCCATTCACCTTACTTTGCCTATCTACATGCATTTGTGGGGCTACTTGCAGTTCGGTTTTTCACAGGTTTATAGTCTGAAGTTAAATAATACTATATTTAAAAGACTGTTAAAATGACAACTGACCAATGGAAAAGCCAAGTTTCGAGGCAGTTTTCCTGATTCCAGTTGATGTATGCGGAGGAAAACATCTACCTGTGGGGTAGAATCATTAATAAAACGAATGACACGGAGAGCATGATGTATATCCCAGTACTGCTCCTTCCGGTACTTCATCACCAAAGCATGAGACTCATGGTGAGGAGGAATAATTCCTAAAAAGCAAAACAGGAAAAAAGATAAGCAACTGTAAAGACAAAAAGCTGAGCACAAACTCCCTTTTCAAGAGATCTGCCTAAATTCAATTTCTATTACAAATTGAGCCTACAGAACTGTAGGACCTGGCACTGCAGTTTGTTTATAAACTTGGTCAAAGAATACAGGGAGAAAATTCTACCAAACTGGAAGTCAATGAACAAACAATGCACTTTAGCATTATATTTATAAAAACAAATTTTATATGTTAACTGAGTATAAGCAAAATCTACGCTTAGATTACTGCTTCTCAAGCTCTTCTACAAGGTTTTCAGAACACTAACTCTTTTGCATACCACAGCAATGCTCTGGTAAGAAATGTCATTGTTGGGATAGATAAAAAAATAATTTGACTGGCTTAGTCTCCTCCTCCAACAACCTGTATCTTTAAATTGTAAATCTTACCTGTTTATAGCCACCTGTAGTTTTTAATACAGTAATATAATATATCCAGATATATTTTTATGTATTTATTTTGAAAACAAACTCAGCACAGAATGATTTTTATATACATTAGCTGTGCATATTCTCAAATTCAACACTTTGTCTGGGATGACCAGAGAATATACACATGCACGCAAAGACACTGTACATTCCAGTATTATCCAATTTACTGTTAGATCTCGCCAGAAAATCCTATACTCACTGTATTGGAGATGAATCCTCTCTAAAACAAGATTTAGAAGCAAAGTCAATCACACAGGTTGAATCAATTACAGATTAAAACTTAAGAATATCATGCAAATACTTTGCAAGGTAACATTCCATACTTTCTTAGCACAACACCAATATTTTTCTAGTTTCCTAGGAGGATAAAAAAAAAAGGCTGTTGAGGGGAAGTATCCAAGTAGAGAGGCAGAAAAAAATTAAACTATGACTTCCACAAGAGATGCTCAACATTTCACTTGATCCTTCTCCTTGCTCAAAACTCAATCTTGCTATGCGCTTATGTTCAAACAAAACTGTCATAGGTTTCAACAGAAATAAGATCTTACATACACCAAAGAAAAAAATGCCACTTCCAGTGGAGCAGAATTTTTCCTGTTTTAGAAAGCCATGAGAACAAAGTACTCTTCAAAAATCAGTTCTGAAACAGGCCACCTGCTGCCTTTATTTCTCATTGAAAGAAAAAAGTATTTCTGCCAAGTGTTAAACCAGGAAATGGCTGAGTTTTAGTAATACGCACATCTGACAGAAAATCATCTTTATTTTCCAACTGTAAACCTGTCTGCATTTCAAAAGCTGGAACAAAACAAGACATTTTTCATGTTATGCAAAAACAGAGTCAACATCATAACTTTGTATGTACACACCACCAACTGCTTTCCTCAAATACAGAAAACTACCTTAGGCAGACAGACAATAGGCTTAAACAATTCAGAGATGTCTAGAAAACACCACGAGTCATACTAAACAGGAAGTTAACAGAGACATCACTGACATACCGTGTATACTGGGACAGCACCAAGCTTTGTTTTGTGAGATAATTTTGCTCACAGAATAGAATTCCTTTTGTTAAACTATTAACATTATTTAGCGGAGATGTAATGCCTCCCACCAGAAATGGACTGGGCTGTTGTTCTAGTCATCTAGGGAGAGATATTTTGTACTTCCCTTCTGAATATAAGCTTTTCTAACAAGTGTTAACACTGAGATCCATTGTAAGAGAAGTCTTGGTACTTCTGTTCACCATATGCGTATTTGAAACAAATCACCCTGGGTTTAAAATACAAAATTCTTTTAAAAAATCAATACAATTTTTCATACAGTTAACTCAGAAGGTAAGGTACCATACAAATCAGAAATCACCCTATCTAAAACAGTCAAAGACCACTGACTCTGCTACAATTTTGCTAAGAGACTGTATTACACTATTATAATTTTGGCTGAAGGATCTTCTACTGAGTCACTTGTACAAGCTTCCTACACTATATTACCTACTACTAATATTTTAAAGGATGCATACTACTTAACTAGTGCCTAGAGTACAAGAATCTTTTTCACCCTGGAATTAGTACTCTAATGGCAGAGGCTTTTATCAAGCCTCCGTTACAGTTAGTTCAACAATCAATGCCAAGAACTTCCAAGTTTTATAATTAGATCTTGCACCTTCTGCACACTGTTCATTTACTATCTCTCCCCAAAAGACTTCAAAATTCAAATAATCAGGAATATGAAGCTACAATTTTTAAACTGGAGGGGAAAAACAAAAGGGAGAAAAAGATTGTTTACAACTTGGCTAACATTTTCTAATGCATTATTTGAAACTCCAGTCACTGTAGTGGAACAGGGAGACCTAAAACAGAGACAGAAAGTATTTATTTGAAAGTATTATGAAATCACCAGTCTTTCCAACTTTGACTCACATGCCAAAATCTTGTTATAGGAGATATATATGGGAGCTGTATCGCATATTCTGGAAAGCCAAAGGACAAAGAAGTAAAACAGTTCACAGACAGCAAAAGACAGCAGCTTCCAAGCCAATCTGCAAACTGATGCTGCTGGTCTCCCCCTGATGAAACAACATTTTGCATAATCAGCACCCTTCCTGCCAGCACAGCCCTGGTAATAATACAAGACATGGGAGCCACACTCAAGCTTTTCAAAAGTGGCACAACACTTCACCACCAACGGTACTGTAAATTACATTTCTCTTTGAGAAATTCAGTCGGATGCTGTTCCTTCACACTCCATCTGACAGTGTTTCTCTAAATGCAGCAAACTCTTAGGGAAAGTCTCTAGATACCCCTCCTGTCTCCAAGCAACACAACCTCACATCTCATAAACCCAACACTCTTGACCAGTTACTGCAAAGTCATTAGTACTTTTGAGTTGGTCATCTAACTAATGCACTTAAAGGATAACAGAATCTATTTATGGGCTTTTCTATGCTTTCCGAGGGATACCGTAATTTAATCTCTTGCCTCGCAGCGTCTTCAATTTCAAGTACGATTTAAAGCCAGACTCAAACCCAGAAGATTTTCCAGAACACAAAGTTTCTCTTTACAATAAACATCCATTCCATACCTTGCCCAGTTTTTCTAAATTCAATCACACCTTTACTTCAACTCCTTGTCTGTTATTTTAGGAACAGATCTGAGTATCTTATCAGGTATCAGCAACTTACTATAATCCACCTTTCAAATCCATCTTATAAATTAGCTGAGATGGTGTTACAAAGTTAAAATACAGAAATACACTCTCCTAGGTACACTTCAGCAAAAGTTCTCAGAAACCACACATGGAATATTGTTTTATATCTGCCACTAGACATCCTAGGGAGACACAAGATAGAGTAACTATGTATCAGTAGGTACGGTAGGATAGAATTATCTGTATCATTAATTCTCCAAAGGAAAAAAAATATACTTTCCTATATGCTCATTTCTACAGAGTATCACAGACGTTATACTTCATACCTAAAAGCACCTTCCATACCAGTATGCGATACATGGATGGGAGAGGAAACCTTTGACTAAATGTGCAAAGCTTCTCAATATCTGTAGAGATATAAAGAGGAAAAAAAAAATAGTTAAATTTAAATGTCATTTATAAATCAGTTTGAGTCTCTGATCTACCTAAGCATGACAAATCCTTTGCCGCAGATGGAAATCCCCACTTTCCTCATATATTATCAGCAAACACTTTCACTACTTCAAGTGAGAACAGAATGTGTCCTATAAACTGCAACAATCTTGAAAAATATAAGCATTGGCTTGATTTACAATAAGACTACCCTAAGGTTCACTAGGAACAAACTACCATTTTTATGGACATTTTGTAGATCATGTTGCTATTTTAAAACAATTAAGGGCTTCGTTAAAAGAACATTTAACTTTCTATTCTGTTAGAGATGTGGCACTCCTCAGGGACCAACAATAATAATGAAGTCTTCATTGTTTTGAGGTTAGATGGAGTTAACAGCATGAGACAATACATTCTCAGATTAAAACTACTTTTATTAAAAAACTTTTAGTTTCTTGGGCACAGAATGAGAGGAGGAAAAAAAAACAGGGAGACACAAATCTTTAATAGTTTAAAAAAAAACATTTTAGTACTAAGCACAGCAGCTAAACATTTCCTGTTCTTCCCTCCCCATCACCAAATCCCCAAAGCAAATAGAGGAAACAGTGAAATCAACTTGCCCAGCCGGTCATCTTTTAATAGAATTTCCAGTGACTTCTTTTCTTCAACTCCACGAAACCCCACTTTTTCATAATACACTGAGCGAAAGTTTCTCTGAGAGTCATCAGCCATGATTTGTTTCCTTCTAGAGAAACAGTAATTCCCCCTTAAGACTTACAAGAATACACTCCTATTGTGTTAAGGTCAAGTACTTTTGCACACTGATAAAAGCTGACTGCCTCTGTCTCTATTGTATTAATAAGCACTACAGAACATGAAATTCTTCGGAGAATTTTGTCATTGTATGTTAACATAAACAATCACTAAAATAACTGAATCTAAAAAAAAGTCTAAAGATATACAATTTCCACATGAAACACAGGGATTTTTAAAAACCTTTTATTCCTGCAATAAATAATACTGCTTTTTAAAAAAGTTAAAAAAAAACAAAACAAAAAACAAACCAACAAAAACTGGAGAGAGAGTCTTTTTTGTGAGATCGTATTTCACAAGCAATATGAAAAAATACAGCTAAGAGTATGACACAATTTTGGCTACAGAAGCCCTATACAAGTACAACTGTTAGCCAGCTTTCACACTCACCAAACAAGGTAACCAGAAGCAACGACAAGCTGATGTTTCCCACAGCAGCACAGGGATGACAGGAAAGAATAAGCTTAGGTATGTAAGTTTGTTCTTAAGTTGCAGATTTGAATTAAATGTTCATGTTGTCATCAGGTGCTGTAACAACCACAGTCTTGACTGTGTTGTTATTCCAGTACAAAAAAGAAATAAATGTCTCATCCTACACTGGAAACAATGGCAAACTGTAAGTACTCTGTGTTTCATAACAAATGTAATTGATAATTCAGGTCCACCTTCTAAATATCAATACTCTCCTCTGCAGGCTTGCAAATATAGGGAAGTTCTGGCTTGTAACTCAAAAGATTAAAGAAAAAAAAAATCTTAACTTTTATGCCCTGTGACAGCAACAAATCTGGAGAAAAATAACTTGGTTTGAGTGAGGAGCAATGGGTGAACGATGCATTGAAAAGCTTTTCTCCTTAAATTCTTTCCCTTGCTAAATCAAAGCACACATCAGGAGCAGAGAATTTGCAGATATAAGCAAAAGCCACAATTTTGCACATATTTAAATTTGTATATCCATGGCCTACTTGTGTTTCAAAATGAGTCCAAATACTGAATTACTGCTGAGATGCATAATATACCATCTCGAAAACAGAAGAAATAAGATTGGCAACACAGCCCAGTTGTGCACTATCTTCATAGAAAACAATGGTAATGTTCGTGTATTGTGCATTTAAGGGTCCAGTGGTCACAGTGATTATTACATATACTGCAGCCTCCTCTAAACCAGGCTTCTGATGCTACAGACAACTATCTGAAATGTTTTAAACCTGAATTTAATATATTTAGAAAACATTTAGCCTCTACAACCTGTAGAAAGCTGACAGTAACCACAAAGCAGAAATAGTATGTATCATTTGAAAAGTAACAACATGATCTGGAAAAAAAAGGAATGCTATTTTAATAACTTTAAACTATGACTACACCAGCAGTACATTTTATTTACCATTTCCTTCTTCCCTCCCTCCAAATTCAGGATATGTATTTCACGCTAGGTAAAAAACAGTGCTCCCGTCTCTGTATGTATCATAAACAAACTGGAAAAACGGGGAAATAAATCCCTCGCCAGCTCATTGGAAATGTTCTGTACAACAGATTACAGTTAACTGTCTTTAAAGATTAATGCGTTCTCTGCCTCAAGAACACTTTTCATCGTATTATTAAACTTCACGCTAAGTGATTTTAACAACAATGAAATAGAAATACGCTTCTGCCCGTTCAGAGAAGGCCCTACCTTGCACAGACCAAGCTATGCTCTGGCCGCACACCTGCAGGCCGAGCAGCACCGCTGGCACGGCCGGCCGGAGGGGGGCGGCGGCAGCGGCGGCCCTCGCTTACCCCGGCCCGGCCCGACCAGCGGCCTCGCCCCCGTCGCGGCCTTTGGGGCTGCAGCACCCGGTCACCGCCACCGCCGGGGAGCTAACGCCACCGCGCAGCCCTGAGGGACGGGAACGGGAACGGGAACGGCCACGGCCGGTACCGCCGCACCCCCACCCCACAGCTCCCACAGCAACAGCGCGCGGGCACAGGGGCGGAGCCCGGGGCGGGCTGGGCGCATGCGCACGCTGCGTCCTGCCCCGGCGGCCATGGCGCCGCGGGGAAAGGGGTGAGTGGGCGCCCTGTTGTCCTGATGCACCCCCTGACGGTAGGGTACCTGCCTAGCGGAGGTGGGGGATTCTTTTCCTCGCCCCTCCACGCCTTTCACGGGGCAGCTGCGGGTGCCCTGCGGGCTGCCATACCCACTTCAATGGCCTCTTAAAGCCTCTAAATGGCTTCAAGGTGGAAGAGGGGAGATTTAGATACCAGAAAGAAATTCCTCACTATGAGGGTGGTGAGGCCCTGGCACAGGTCACCCAGGGAAGCTGTGGCTGCCCCATCCCTGGCAGTGGTAAAATCTATGTTTGAGCAACCTGGTCTAGTGGAAGGTGTCCCTGCCCATGGCAGGGTGTTGGAACTGGATGAGCTTTAAGGTCCCTTCCAACCCAAACCATGCTGTTATTCTGTGACACCCCTGTCTCAAGGTGACACCAGAGACTCGGGCATTTTGACAGAACAAGCTGTTCCCGGTATGGAATTATATAGAGAAGTGATCCAGAAAGTGCAGTGCTGCACAAGACCCACCAATAATGCTTGTCAATAAGAGAATAATTCCTTCCCTTAACACTGAGGCCACAAAGAATAGCGAAGAATTGTATAGCCTGTACCATATTATTTACTATAATTGGTATGCTTAGCATTTTGGCCCATCCACTGTGACATTTTACTTAGAACAATCTCTAGGAAGCTAAATGCATTTTCCAAACCCAAAATTTACACTGATGTGTGTAAGCAAAGTACTCGGTACTAAAACTGCCACCCCTCAAAACCAGTAAGTGACCTAAATCTCACTGTTCGAAGCCAACATTCAAAAATCAGCCTGTGCTGCCTGAACCATGGGATGTCAAAGTAATAGTGTGGGTTCATATGCAGATGGGGTTTGGGCTGGCTTGGGGCTTTTTAGTTGTTGTTGGTGGTTTTATTCAGATGTGTGAGATCTAGCTAGCCTTTAACCGTACCATTGCAGGCACCAGGCAGCTGCTTTTAATACAAGCTGAGTTTTCATCACACAGTCCCCTTGCAGGAGCAGAAACTTGCACAAACCCCATCAGGCATCTGACTTAGCAACACCAGGACTTCAAAGTACTAGAGCCCTCCAAGACAGCATCTTAGGTTTAAGTGCTGTATTTTCAAATGCACAGAACATTCCCATTATTTTAATCTTGCCCGACGCTTTTGAAATGCCAAAGCACACTTGTAGAAGGGGCAGGCTTTTGTTAAATCCGGTTCACACAGGAGTGGGTTTTGTTGAGTCAGTGCAAAGCCCAGCAAATAACGTTTCTTGAAGTAATTCTGTACAGCAGCAGGTGGCAGGCTGGGGCCATTTTTTGTCATTTTTGGCTTCTTGAACTCAAATACACCTTTTGTATCGATAGATGGCACTTGTCTGTGGGTAAGATCTGTTTGGTGGTGGTGGGAGCTCAGCGGTATCACAAGGTTCAGAAAACGGCTACTGAAATTCAATCAAATCTCTGTAATTTTTAATTATTAATTTTTGGCCTTCTCAAGATTTATTACACAGCTACAGTGGTGCTTTATAAAAGGCTGAAGTTAGCACAGTTTATTTTAGCACTAATTCATGGGACAGCAGATTGAAAAAAAATATTTGAAGCAGTTGAGCCATCAGACATTATGCTATGGGTTTGCACTATATTAATGTTACCAATCATGGCATTGCTAAAAGTTCCTAATCAAAATTAGGGTCTCAAAGATTTAGCTGCATAAAAATACAGCATAAAAACAATAGCTGCCCTGAAAAACAATAAAACGTATGTGGCCCCCTCATAAATTTTCTAAACCCCACATATAGGAAGATTCTTAATCACGTTAATCATACACACAGATTTTCTTAATGCTACCTGTAAACAGATCCCACCATATAGATAATAGGTTGTAGTGGGATCCCATCCAAAGTCAGTTGTAAATGACTACCAGCATTATATTTAGGTTAGTGGAAAATTTAAAAAATGAGACTTTTCAAAATGTAAAGGAAATTAAAAGCATCATTTGAGCTAATGACTGCCATGATTGTTATGTGGTGACACAGTGAAACAAAGATGGCTAACCCCCTTTTTTTAGAAAGACAGCCATGCACAGAGGTGGACTTCTTTATCAGCCTTATTTCATTTATTGCCTCTTTACATCCACCTGCACTGAAATGAGCTAAATGACTCTATATGCTGTAAAATGGTGGTGTAAAGCGCACAGGTGAGTCATTACCCAAGTACTTCATTTAAGTGGGTTTACATTTTCATAAGCCAAATAATGACCTTATTTTCCTTTGTCTATGGACATAAACTATCTTCATGCCTATTGATGGAATCTCTTTTTTGGCACTGTAAAAGAAAGCAGGATTTCATCATGAATAGCTGCAAGTGTCAACCAACAAAGTAGAGGACTGTGTTTATAGTAAAATTTATTGATTAATACAGTGTTAATCAGTAATACCTTCCTAGGCATCTGTCCAAACTCTGATAACCTAATCACTGAATTTTTTAAACTGCACATAACATCAGAAAAGGTAAAACACATAAAGAATAAAAGGGAAACAGGTTTGGAATTGGCTTGGGGTTATCTGAGATACAGAGCCAACCTGATTAGTACCCTGCTAGCATACTGCATCTCTCATTTTTATCTGTAACTTTTGAGTATTACTGTGTTTGCACTTTGCAGTGATGTGTTTACATTGCACAAGTGAATTACTCACTGACATAAAAGACACATGAGAAGAAAGCCAAACAGGCATTGTTAATGCTTTTTTGTTGCAAAATATGAACTGCATTGTCTCTGTGATTTGATTCTTCTTGAAAAGCAATGCTTTTGCTATTAAAGCTGGAATAATATCATGGGAGCGATGTGCTACTGAATATTACAGCTCTTGGAAAGTCTTTAGGCATCGCTCTCTTCCTGTATGACTGATTTATCAGTGGAATTACAGATGATTATCAGAAGCGCACCTTGTGTGAATATCAAAAGAAGTTGAAAATGCAAAGCAACAAAATGGCGATTTTACACAGTATGAAAGTCTGTATTTGCATGGAATTATAATAGACGTAACATACAAAAAATAAACTGCATTTTCAGGTGGGTTTCATTTGCACTGAACTGACCAAAGATTCACTTTTTTGTTTAAGAGACAAAATATCTTCACAGCCTCTCAAAAGCAGTATCTACTTTTGGCCTGCTAATGCACCATCCCTTGCTCCTGTTGCTATAGGAAATGATTTATGTTCAGGAAAGGAGTTGCAAGTTTGGTCACTTCAGCTTTTCTAAGATACCATCTCCTGTTTCTTCAGAAGCATGAATAATGGTGGATGATGAGAAGATCTGAGTTAATGGAAAGGACAGTTTACTTACACATTCACATAACTTTCTCATTATGAACATCAGCAGATCTAGAAAAGCTTGCCTCCATTTCCTGCCCAAAACAGCATCACTCTGCTTTTTATACTTTACCTGAGACAAGAATGCAGATGTAGCTATAAATGTTCACAACTTAATCCCTTGTTGAAATGAGATGGGGAAAAAAAAAAAATTAGTGCTCTGGGGTAATAAAAATATCATAAAACTGTTTGTCAGCAAAAGGGAATTCAGCCTTTCATTTTAGCATGGCAGCACAACAGGCAGGTGTGTCTCCAAGCAGACCAAACACTGTCTCTGTAATCATGAATACACATCCCCAAATGACAGCAAGGAAAAGGCTTATGGAGCTGAAAACAACATTAGGAGCGGCTGAACCTGGAAGGCTGAGTTCAGATGTGTCCTACTTTGTTTCTTTATCCTGCTAGAGAATGAGAGTGCTTCAGAGGTGACATGCTTTTGTCTGCAGATATATACAGAAACTGCAAGACAATTACAAAGAAAATAACATTGCAGTTGCTCACTGCAAACATAAAGGGAAT